CAGTCCACAACGCCTCGCGTACGTCCCGCTACGATCAATCTGCAACTTTTTAAAGCCACTCTAGATTCTTGGAATGTAGTCCCGGCCGACTGGTTTGCTGGTAGCTTGCACACGTGCAGCTTTGGGGGCCTACTAGGGCAGCTGTGAAGGAGTGGTGCTGTTTGTGTCCGGTTCTTTCAAGCAAAGTGCGTTTGCTTGCTTGGCTTTTTTTTCGTTGTTGCTCACTCGACTAAAAGAACGTTTCCCTCGTTTTGGCTTGACCCTTGCGTTGCGCCACATTTCTGGCTGAAGCAGCGCAGTCAAAATGCTAGTATTGGTTGACTCCCGCCAAACGACGCCCCCGCCCCCGTCACCAGTACCCATCAACCTGCTACTCTTCCCCACCCATATCTCCCCATGCGGCAACCCCAATGCTATTGCTCCTCTCCTGTGGGCAACTCTCTGTGTTGCCTTTGCCCTGTACACTACTCGGAGAGGAAGACGAACTTTTTTCTACTTCGACCTCCCCGAATACATATCCATCAACCCGACCGCCATCGATATACACCAAATGGCACCCGAAATATAGCCATGTGCTCGCGAAGCTATCGGCCGGAAGCTGAGGAAAGTCGCTGCTTGCGGTTTCATGTCCGCAATACCATGTCCTACAACAAGAAGCGAAATCGAAGACTCGTCAGGAAGCGTTATGAACGAGCTGCTATCCCAAGCTTTCCGTGCAGTCGCTGTCCTTCACCTCCTACCCAATGGCTTATGACACAGCTTCGTCTTCCCTCCCCGTTTCCATCCCCGAAGTCGTTTTTTTCTCGTCAAGTTGTGGCAGTGTCCTACCGATAGCAAGGCCGACAACTCCACACACACGCGACCACCGCCTCTATCGACTTGATACCATGATGTCCCGTCATCTTATCGTCCTCCCGTCATCTTCCTGTCCTCGTCGACGGAAATGCACCCATTCGACACTTTTTCACACTTGCATCCTTCTGGGCTTGAACGGGGTTTCTCGTTGGAGAGTCGCGACATTCGTATCTTACGGCGACGTAGGGCCAATCTTCATCGTGGCGCCGGTCTCCTATGGGTCGAGAATCTCTGGGATCCTCCTTCCCAGCAGCGTTTTGGAGATTCGGGTCTCCCACCCAACCGACGTCATCGTCCATCTCGGTTCTTGCTCCATTCCCTCGAACTCAGCTCCCTCACGCCTAGCTGCCGATTCCATTGCGTTTTGGGACCACCTACCCTTGGCCGCGGTCGCCGGTTCCTCCCCGATTTGGACAATCCGCGAAAGAACTCGGTCTGGAGCTCTATTCTTCATATGCATCGCTTCTCGTCTGAGACGATGCACCATTCGCATGCTTCAGCACCGGAATCGAGGAGCAATCTCCTTTCTATGATATGCAATGGGGAGTCGAGGGCGAATTCAGTGTTCCACGCCCTACTCGCTCCTTCCGCCGACCGAGCCTCGAGAAATCGCATAAATCCCATCTGTTCCCCTCTATTCATCGTCTCCCGGACTTCATCAGCTGCTCACCTCTTGTCCTTCACACCGACCTTCCCTTCACACCGACCTTCCTCCCGTGGCTGTGCAGCCAGCAAATCGCCTTGTTTTCTCGCTCACGCGTGTTTACGTGGCCCGTTTGCGGCTTAGAGGTCTATGCCGCTTGCTTTCGAGTCGTATGTTGCTCCTCGTCCGCTTGCTTTGGCGTGTTGTTAACTTTTCTTGTGCATAGTCATTGGAATGACGAGGACTGGCTTTGCGCAATGCGGCTCGACATTGTCGACGATCTGAGAGTGAGTGCATGTCTTATTTGTGAAAGTTCTTCGACTGATTGTGTTCAGTAGTTGTTCGATGAAGACGACCAACACACTTCAACTTTCAAGACGATTGACTGCCTGCATTTCGAAGTCCATATCGCGTCTCCTTGGCACATTTCGTCGTTATCCCGTGTTGGCTCTCGTGTTTTGCTATCATTCATTATTTCCAAGTTGTTGTTGTTGTTTGCCATCGTTCATATCTGTTCTGCTTCCTGGATACCCTGGCCTAGATTATTGATATCATACAAGCCACCTTCGAGTTACTGCTGCTATCCTCCCTTTCCTGTTCTGCCTACCTACATTATTTACAGTACATACTATTACAAGTAGCTTACTTACACGACCTCGCATCGCGTTTCCCCTTCCCTCCTCGATATTGTACCTATATCCACCTAGAGCCTGCCGCCGGGTCATCCGGGCGTGTAGCGCGGAGGCGCATCGAGGTCGGCGCTAGCGATCTTGGCAGACTTGCGATCGGCTCCATGGTCGACAGAGTGGTCCAGGCCCTGGGGCTCATAGGGGGAGATTCGGGAGGAACCGGGACGCGCGGCAGACCGCGCTGGGAGCTCCAGCGCAGTGTCCTTCGCGTTCGCGGCGGTGTAATGGTATCCCCGGTACGCCGCTGGTGGGCGCGGGTACGGCGCATGTACGAGGGCGGGAGGCAGGCGGGTGTGCTTGCCGGTGCCCCGCGCGTACGCGTGCTGCGCGGAGCTTGCGAAGGGCGCTGTGAGTGTGACGCGGCGGCGCAGCTTGCGGCCGTGGAAGCAGCCGAACACACAGCAGAGCGCGATCATGAGCATGGAGACTGCGGGGACTCAGCGTCAGCGTCGGGATCCGGCGTGCCAGTGCGAAGGTGGCCACTCACGGCCGACGCTGCCCAGGATCACGTACTGCACGGCTTTCGGCATCGGGCGCCCGTCTGCGCCGTCGTCGTCGTCGTAGTGCCAGCCACTCCGGAGTTTACCGTGATTCTGCCTCCCAAAAGTTGATTCAAAAAGGACTAATTTTTGTGCAAAAAATATTTTTACAGAAAACAAATAGTTTCCGCAAAGGGAAAATTTGATACAAACTGGTTAAAGTGGTTTCCCTTTGCAGAAACCATTTGTTTCCTGTAAAAATGATTTTTGTGCAAAAAGTAGTACTTTTTTCAACTTTTAGGAGGAAAAATCACACTAAACTCCGGAGTGAGCCGCGCGCTGCGTTGAGTGTGATGGGCATGGGAGAGGGAGAGATGAGAGTTGGTTTAGGGGCGTTACAGCTTTCGCTCGGATTCGATCGCGAGTACTGCCTTGATTTTCTTGTCGATCCTGCGTCGCATCAAGTATTTTCTTCTTCTTGCAAAGTTTTCTTCCAATTATCGGGATTACTGCCGTTATAATACTTCACCATCACTCCTGAGTCGTCGAAATCAACGATTTAACCACCTGGAAAACATTTCTGCGACCCCATTACTCGGCTCTATGTACTCAAGTCTGCCTACGCTGCGGTACTCTGTTCAAGGTGATTTTGGTTATTCAGCACCCAATCAGCCAGAAGAGGCCTAGGGCCACACGCGCTCCAGCTAAAACTGATTAAGATTCAAGAAGTATGGTAAGTATGTACCCTGTGGCCTGCACATCCTGCGAATTATAGATGCGGAATGTAAATACTCCAATTTACGTCGACCAAGTCTGAATGGGACACTGTACGCAAGGCAGCAAACGGCAGAACCAACTGAATAAGTCGGATCGGGACATAGAACAGGATGACGAACCACATCACAGCCCTGTTCTTGTAGGTCAAGGACGCGCCGGAGAGCAGGATGCCCACCATCGGCGCCCCCGTCAAGAATATTGAGGAGCTGCGCCACAGCCACTGCTCGGGAGCCGAGAGGAACGTCGAATTCCATGCGGCACAGTGGATCGCACCGAATATGCACGCGATGCCCATTTCGCCGATGATGCACTGGCAGATGGTCTCCATGTCCGAGGGCGTGTCGCGCCAGGCGGCGAACCAGAAGGTCGGCACGCTGGATCCGGAGGCGGCGCGGAAGGTGTCGGTCGTGTAGGCCAGTCCGAGGAGCCGGATAGACCACGCGAGGGCTTTATTCTGTTTTATGCCCAGCTGGGCGGGCTTTTCATGCAGCGGGTCCCGCGGATGTCGTGCGGTAACTTCGGGACCTTGCATGACGACCAGCGGTTCCTGCACATCCAGCGGTTTATCCCGCCACAGGATGCACGTGAACGGATTGACGGCCGCAAATGCAAGTGTGGCGACCTCGAGCTGGGTGAGGGGCGGTGCTGCACCCACGTCGCCTTGGCTTTTGTCCATGATGAAGCTCGGCGAGACGCTCTGGATTGCGCGCAGACTGGGGGGCGGATTCTCGCACATGTGCGGGCGACCCACGCGCGGGGCGTAGATCCCCCAGGCGCCGGTGATCTGCCCAAACCCGACGAGCGGGTGGCCGTCCCTGTCGATGAAGCCGCCCATGGAGATGAAGAAGCCATGGGTTTTGGACACGCACAGCTCTGCAGATGGTCAGGCGAGAGATACGCGCGTAATCGGCGCACTTTTGGAGAAATGGCCGGCCATGATCCGCTGCCGCAGGGCGAAGCCGGCAATGGGCTCCGGCGCCGGCAGCCCGACCAGCATCAGCGTGAGGCGCGCACGGAGAGCGCGGGTTCCTTCGGTTAGCGACCGCCCAAGCCGATTGCCAGTGTCCTCCTGGTGGCCGGGGGCTCGACGGCGGTGGCGGCACATTGGGGTGCCCACACGCAAGCAAAGACGGTGACGAGTCACGAGACAGCCCCAAATGATGTCGTACTCCGTCCGACAGCTGCCGCCTGTGTCGCAGGGCCCGGCGTCCACGGCACGCGGTGGGTGGATGGTGCCTTCCATAGAGGGCGAAGAGGAAAAGCATTGGGATTATTATCGGCGCCTACGCGTGTGGTGTAACGTCTGATGAAGGGGTCAGCCAGCGGCGCTAAGCAGTGCAGAATTATACCTGGCAGCAACTTTGCCAGCAACATATTCATAGTAGACACGGTGCCTGATAGATAAGTATGCTGCACCAGGCTACTACTTATAGCAAGGCGTCGCCTCCCGGTCTAAGCGCTCGGACTGCTGGGGACTGCTTTTATATCCCTTACCGAATGAGAGCATGAACAGAGTGAAGAGGCAGAGGAAAATCTGTGATGTGACACAGCCTCCACTTTTTCGCTCTCCACGATGTCCCCTTCACGGTCTCCCCGGGAACGATGCGTCGTCGCGCTTCCTCCTCCCTCTTGTACTCGTCCACACCGAGTCCCGGTAGTGTCGGCCTGTGGACGACGGTAGCGAGGATCTCGTGTATGTCTTGCCACGCACGAACCATCCGCAGCTTGCTAACCCAGTTGGCCACCATTAGGCCTGTACTCGAATAACCAGACTTATCTTGGGACGGGGGGAGCTGAAAGCCAAGAAGAGCACTGGGGGATGAGTGTCTATGAGGAAAAGTGCGTCCAGAAGATGCTTTCTCAGTTTCGTTTCAACCCACTCTACAAAAGGAACTTCTTCCACACCTCAATTTGCGGCTGGTGTTGCGCCCCATCCCGCTTCCAAGATGCGGAATCGAGACTGAGTGGGCCAGGATGGCTCAGGAATCGTTCCTCTGACATTCACCGCTAAAAACTACTCCTCTTCCCTGCCGCTTCCCCACGCGCACATCTTCCCATTCAGCCACTGCAACGCTATCTATCCCCACCTGCGAGCGCCGCGAGCGGCTTTGCACTGCCGTTTGTCCCCGGTATATGCCACGCCTGGAGAAAGATCGAGCTCTCTTCCACGTCGACATCCTCGCATAAAACTACAACTTTTCTGTTCGACAAAACGGTTGCAAAACGGAGGTCCCAGGCAAAACGGGCTGCTGTCCCGAGTTGTTAGACAAATGCGCTGTCCTTCATGCCCGCCACCGTAACTCACGACAGCTTTTCATCGCCCCTCTCCCGCTGTTATCCACCGCAATACGGAACGTGGTGGCCACAACTCCACCACGGTCTGTATCGAATGGCTCTACATCGTCCTTCAGAAATCTCGCTTTTCTTCATATCCTCAGCCAAGGCACTGTCTTGTACTTTTCGAGACTTTGGATATTCCCCTTCCCCGGTCTATCCTTCATCGCATCTAAATGAATACCCTCAAACTCCGCCACCGTTTATGTCGCGTTTCTTGTCCGAAGTCATCGGTTATCACCCAATTTTGGACCATCCTCCCAAAGTCGGTCTGGTGTCCTATTCAGCCTCCGCATGTTCTCTCAATAGAGACTACTCCGCTGTTCCATGACCGACGGCGGACTCTTACATTCTACTTCAATGACAAATTGTCAGTCATCAAGGGGAAAATCAATATTTCGCTGGTTGCTCGCCCCTTCCGCCTTGCAGTGTCCCGGAAACCACATACAGCATATCTAATCCGACCACTCAAGTGTCTCCCCAACTTCATTAACTCCCTATCTCTATTCCTTTAAACGACCTATATGGTGGCTGTGCTGCGACCAAATTTTTGTCCTCGCTTGCTCGCCTGGCCGTTTCCAGCTCAAACATTCCAAGTTTTGTCCCTCTTGCTCAACGGTATGCTGCTCTACCATGTTATGTCTCCCCTGGTCATTCACCTTTCTTCAGAATTGCAACGGGTCTTTGCGTTTTGGGGTTTGGAGCTGATATTCTCGGAGACGTGGAGAGTAAGTCGATCTTCTTGTTATGAGGAACACACCCGACTTATTACGTCTAGCAGTTCTATTACTCTTGACCGTGAGGTAGGCTATCCACTATCGAGACAAATACCGATACTCTGACAATTTTCGTTCACATGTAGCTATTCTTCCCGTCACGTACTTTGGATAACCAACGTCAATACTTCCCACCTATTATACAATACAATCTTACTACCGCAGTCTCCACCCTCCATTTCTCTTCTGCCTCGCCAATAGCCACATACTGATGTCGTTACATGCCCCTCTCCGCCTCCCAGTACAGTACACTAGCGGTAGCTCACCCGGGGGTGTAAAGTGGAGGCGCATCTGTGTCCGCCGCCTTGGCTAGGGCGCTCGCGTCAACGGGGGAGTGGGTCGAATAGGCGTTAGGGTCCAGGCAGGCCCTACGAGCTCGATGAAAGGGGGGGGGAAACGGTGCATAGAACTCACCGCGGGCAGAACCGGCAGCTCCAGGTCCTCCTCCTCCTTTGAGCTCGCCGCCGCGTATTTGTATGCCCGCGACGCAGCAGCGGGGACGGGCAGCGCCGCTATTTGTGGCGGGCGGGAGCCGCGTTTGCAATTGTCGCCTCTCCTCTTACCCTTCCCATGGTTCTCCGACTTGGCGAAGAGCGCCTTGATCTGGCGGCGCATGCGGCAGCTCTGGACGCAGCAGATGGCGCTGCAGAGCGCGAACGTGAGCACGAAGACTGCAGGGGTTCAGCGTCGACCTGATCCATGGCCCGGGGTCATAATGTGCTCACAGATGATGACGCCCATGATCGCGTATTTCTCTGCCTTCGTCAGCGGCCGTCCGTCCTCGTCATCGTCGTGGTAGTGCGAGCCGCGCGCAGCGATGGGTATGGTGGGCATGGAAGGAGGCAGGGTGTTGGTATGCTGCACATTGCGACTGAAAGGGGGACCTCTCTCACAGCCATCTTGACAGATACTTTCTACGATGCAGATAACAAGCCCCTCCCGGCCGCTGTAGCTGTGGATTCACAGTCGACCTCCGACTTAGACAACGTGTTCTTGATTTCACCCATACTTGTCTTCAACACAGCTGCCGGTTCTCTCAACTTATGCTGCCTCGTGTGCTCGTCCTATCGGCTGCGTTCTGTGAGGCTGGTAACGCATCCACTGGACGCCAGAATAAAACGGTGAGAATCAAGCTTTGTACTCCGTTCTCCCGTCGAGGCTTGACCAAAGTTTGCCATATGTCATCGTCTACCCGGAGTTTTTCCGTGATTCACGAACTAAACTATAACAGTCCATGCGCGCCGATTATGTGCTTCTCTTACTGGTCATTGGGCAAGTTACAATCGCTCGCAGCTACTATGACGTTGTCGGAGATCGTCTCCGTCGCGCACACTGACCCACCGCGAACCCTCCCAGTAGACCCTGGCGCAGGCTAAACGGGTTGGCCTTATCAGATTCGCGGGCACGTCCCCTCTGCAATGGTGATCATGATGGCGACGCGCGGCAGCGGAAGCAATTCGGCCTGTCCATGATTCCCGGTTCCTCCCGCAGACGGCTGCAGACGGGAGCACCAGCGCGTTGTTGCGATGTCGATGTCGAGCTGAGTGCCGACGTTGACGTCTTCGAGCACGGTTACTGTGGATAGCCAATTGTCGGCCATGGCCACCGCAATATCGCAACCAACGAGCGCTGAGCCCCATGTTGCTCCGCCGGCGTGCGTTGAGTCTCCGCGAACTAACGGTGCAGGGTGGGTCCGCTTACTTGTGCTGACACACTCAGCGTACGTCAGCGCCCTGATCGAGTAAGACGACCGATTTTCCGTCGGTTACAATTGGGTCAGGGGAAGCGCGTAGGCCGGCTGAACGGGCCCTTCCAATGTTCCATAAGTATATTGCGCGCACATCTTGCCGCCGCCCCTCATCCCTTCTCCCTATTCCGCCCATGTCGTTGGCGAAGAAAAGCTCCCATGAGGCTGTGCAAGCCGGCGAGCACGACTCTGTCTCCCATGCGACCACCGCCGTTGTCGACGACGAGCCCGCCCCGAGGCCGTTTAGTGGGCGCTTCCGCGACAAGACGCCTGCTGCAGCGGAAGCGCGGAAGGTGTACATTCGGACGGTATTTGGCGGGATGTTTGCCATCTGCCTTGTCATCTTCGTGGTGTTCTCGATATACTGGGGCTCCGTGTGGCGAACGCCTCGCCACCCATTGCTGGGCTGGGTTGTGGTGCGTGCTGCTGCTTCTCTTGGGATGGACATTGACGAGTGGTGGAATAGGACTTTGACGGAGGAGCGGTGGGTCAAGCGGTGTCAAATGCGCTAGGGGCGATTCCGTCGGGCAGAGGAGGTGTGAGGTGGACAGTCGTGCCCGCGAGTCGGTTCCCGGGCGGTATCGCGCAGCTGCAGGACGAGATAGTGGATGAGAAGGCGTGGTACGCTGTTACAAGTGCGTGGCTCTGTGAGACTTTCTCCTCCATGTAGCTCATAGGCTTCATAGTCAATCGTGGAGCGACTACCAACCTCTCTGCTGCCGTTGCTGCCGTCGATGCGGCCTACAACTCGTCTAGTGCCATAACGTTCTTCGGGTCGGAAGCGCGGAATGAGAACATTTAGTGCGTGTGCCCGTTCCTCTCCACAAGCGACGGTCCGCTAAAAAACCTGTCAGCCGCATCCACTACCGGGTGGTCACTGCACAACTAGATGCAATCACATTCCAGTTCAACCTCGGCTTCCTCAGAAACATGTCCTCCGCCAACAACCTACCCCAACTCCTTTCCACTGCCCCCGCACTCGTCAGTCGCCCAGTATACTTCACCTCCGTCAACCTTCGGCCATTCGATGTCCCCGTGTATGTCCGCAATCCAATTGCAACATCGTCGTCTAATTAGACCTCATAGCGCGAGTGCCGTGACCTTCGTGGGCCTCATCTACCTCCTCATTCTCGCCTTCTTTATTGTCAACGTCTCCGCCGCCGCCCGCCAAGTGTCCACCCTCGAGAATACGCTCACCCTGCGCTCGCTCGTTACCGTGCGCCTCATGACCTCCGTCTTCGCGTACTTCTTCGTGGCATTATTCTACACACTCCTCAGCCGGGCCTTCCAGCTCCCGTTCGACCGGCACTACGGCCGCGCGGGCTTTGTCATCTTCTGGATGCTCAACTTCATTGGCATGCTCGCGTGCGGGCTCGCGCTGGAAGCCGCGCTGACGCTGCTCACCATCCACTTTGTCCCGTTCTTCCTCATCTTTTGGATCATCTGCAACGTCTCCACGTGTGTGTTCCCAATCGCCACTCTCCCGCATATATATCGCTACGGCTATGTCTTCCCGTTCTACAACATCGCGCGCGCCGTAAGGTCCATTGTGTTTGGCACCAAGAATCAGTGTAAGTTTATCTATTTTTCCGCCTCGAATTAAGTTATAGAGTATTGACGATGTTTTGCAGTGGGCGTTAACTTCGCGGTCCTCTTCGTGTGGACGCTAATCTCCTTTATCTCGATCCCGATCTTCCAGTGGTGGGCACGGAGAGGCGCTGCTCGCGCTGCCGCCAACGCGCAGCGGGGCGAAAAGTTGTGAACACTACCTACAATACGACTAATGGAAAGGGAGGAACTATCTATTATTTTTGTCTGTACCGCATACTACCCTACCGCACTAGAATGACCATCCAATAGTAGCAATCAAATACTCCTAACTAAGCACAGCGCTGGGCGACCTGAAAGCGATGTCTAGATTCGATCACCAACAGGAGTTCGAGCGGGGCTGCTTTAAAGACCGCGCATCCCTCTGCGAGTCCTAATAGCACAATGCCGTCGTTGTTCTCCTCCTCCTCGAGCCACGGCTGGGGCTGGCACTCGGGCCACCACCACCACTCGGACCGCCCCTCCCGCCCACTGACGAAGGGCGAGCGCTACGCGGTGTTCGCAGTTGCCGGCCGTGAGTAGAGTCGGTATCCTTTTCGTGGGCGGGGCTGACCGCTGCGCCAGTCGTCTTCCTCGGCATCCTGTTCTGCGTCGTGACCGCGTGGCTGCAGCGCCATCGGGTGAAGGAGCGCAGCAAGGCGTTCTTTGGCAAACTACGGTGCAGGCGCGGGGGCAAGCAGCGGAATGCGCAGCCGCCAGATGATGCCGCGAAAGGGTATACCTATGAACCCGCCAGCTCGAAGGAGGACGAGCTGGAGCTTCCCGTGCTGCCTGCCAGTGTGGTGCGTCTCTTCTGGCTGATTGGGTGCTGAATGACTGACATCGTCTTGAGCAGGTCCACCAGAGTACCGCAGCGTAGACAGACTCGAGTACATTATCATCGAGCAGAGTAATGGTGAAATGGTGTTGATAGCAGGATTTCAATAAATGCACGACAACTTGACGAAAAACCCGGAAAATCCGAGGCAGTGCTCGCGATTGACTTCGAGCAAGAGCTGTTTTTTTTTGTAGCATTTGTAGTAATGGACTTCAGTCTGCAGAAGCATTCCAAAGAACACCTGCTGTGTACACTGGAGATTTCCAGTAAAATGCAGGGAAGTAATCTCAGGGGGAAATGCTTTTATACACGTTGTAAAACCAGTGTGGGACTCCTACAATAGTGTGATTTATCCAACATTCTTCAAGGGTGGAACACCCACTAAACCTCCTTTTCATATATCCAGTTCTCAGGCAAGGAGTCTTCATCCAGCAGAAGTCCATTCCAAGTATTTAGTACTACTTGGTGGTCAATAGCTAATTTATCAAATTTGTTTTTGTTTGTCAAGATTCTATCACGTTTAAGTATTGAATTTATCAATGTCAACCATCGATTATGTATTTCATTAATTTGGAAATTTTTACCAGGATTTTTAAGACATCTTTCGTTTCGTGCTGAACAGCCAATCTTTGTGAGGTTGGGGAGTACCTTTCTTAGTATGAAACTTGGTAAGATTACCAGAGCTCGCATAGTGGCATGGCTGAATGGCATGCACCCGCCAAATGCCAGCGTGCACGCCACTGATGCAGAATGCGCCCAATCCTGTGCACATGCCCATGGGTATTTTCCCATGGTGATTTGATGTGGGCATAACCTACAGGATAGCTCTATATATCCTATACATCAGGAAATTCACCAAACTCCTTTTGGGCACTTTCAGGCCTTTTGAAAGGCCTAAAAGGACTAAAAGGTCAGAAAAAGTCCCTAGAAGGCAAAAGGTCTTTCAGGCCTTTTGAAAGTTAGGCCCCCTCCTTTCAAAAGGTCTTTTGGCTTGAAAGGACACAAAAAGGCAGAGTGAAGGCAACCACAAGGCCACTAGAAGTCGCCTCAAAACAGTCAATTATAGCAATTTAGGAATAACATTATAGTATTTTTCATATATTTATATAATCAACCAATAACTACTTATGTTAGTCCGACTCATCACCGAGCAGTCCAACACGAGCGACTGGGACACTGACAGGAACAATAACTGGTGCAGGTTGTGCTGGCCCCTTCGCCGCAACCTCCCGCGCAGCAGTCAAGATTTTCTCCCAGCGCTGTTCGGTTAATAGCTTTGTGACTTCGTAAATCATGTTGGCGGTATTGCAATCAGGTCGATTACCGAAGTTATCTTTCGAGAAAGTAGGTGGGGGTGTTGCCGACTTGACGCCTGTCGTATAGAGCTTCAATGTGCGTGCAATCTAACTGGGTGTTAGCGAGCAAACATGAAGGTGAGCGCGCGAGTGCGTACCGCTTGGACAACAAGGACCAATGCCCCACTCGGAAACTTGCCCCGAGTTGCCTCATCACATGGGCCCATTTGCTTCGAGAGATCCCGCGTGTGCTTGCAGAATGTTGCGAGGGTACCAATGACGAGCGGATGCATGAACACGCTCTGATAGCCAAGTGAATAAGGGAACCATGTCAACTGATAGCGTACCTTGGCGTTGCTGTACTCGTGGGTCTCCGCACCCTGCGCGTCGACCACGACTGCCTCATCCACAGTTTTGAAGTAGAACACTCGATATTCGGTGACGTTGTCCGATGGATAGATAGCCAAGAGCTTTGCTACATCCGTCGCAATCTCCTTCGGTTCCATCTTGGAGTAGTGTTGTGTGACGAGAGCAATGGCTGATGAGCCAATCTTGGTCCAAAGACCGGAGAGCCGGTCATCTGCCTGCAAGGACAGGTCAGCTCTGTATTGACAGTGAATGGTCGACGACACACCAATTTTAACATGACAGTGCGGAGAAACAAGTCGCTGCGAGCCAGGGCTTGGTCGGGGTACTGGTCGTTGTAGAGCTCGATGATCTTCTCGTCAGACAGCTTCTCCCAAGGCTGTAGCGTGCCGACAACGCTTGCCAGCAGGCTTCTGAAGTGAAAATGGAAGGTTTCGATAACCAACAGGTCCTCGAGATGCTCAACCCGGATGTCACGCTTCCTGACGCCGAGTTTGGTGCGGGGACGGACAAGCACAAGCTCCGGGAGCTGGGTTTCGACGATGCCAGCAATGGACGATGTCTGAAGGAAGGACGCGTCAGCATCCGAGATCGGGCCGAGAATTTCTCACCGTCTGTCGAGCAGCCTTCACGTCCGTGTGACTCGCATACTCTCTCTCCTCGATATCGTCTTCGTCAGACTCCACCATCCCTGCCTCAATGAATCCACTAGAGTCCATGAAGCCTGCTTCAGATACTGGCACGGATCGAGCTGAGCTGCGACTGGGCGAGCGACTGGGCAAGTATTCGAGTGCCGCGTCATCGTCGTAGACGAAAGCTGGAGTAGCATGTCGACCACGGTCCCAGCCATCCATGAGGCCGCCGACCTTCTTGCTCTTTTTCTTTGCTTCCTTCCGGACACTAAAGCCACAAATCAGCAGAAACTGGAAACAACTAGGTACAGACACACCTGTCATCGGATGCCTTTCTCTTCAACGGCTGCACGACTCCCTCGCTATCCCGCATCTCGATGACACGGTCTCGGATGTGGCCTTTCTTCTTCTTCGGCTTGCGCTTCCCCTTCTTGTGGTCGTCCCTCGTCGGATGCGTCCATGACAACATCTTCCTCCTCGTCAGAGGAATCCGACTCGTCCCTGCTCGTCGGCCCGCGGTTGATAGTTGTCGCTTTCGCTGGAGTTGGAATCGGCATGCTGATGATGATGAGCGTGAGCGCGGGATAAATGCTCTAAAAGGTGCTGTGAGTTGGTCTTTGAGAAGGGCGAAAACTCACCCTCATCTTCAGCTGCAGGTACAGGACGTCGGTGAGGCACCTTCTCCATCTCACTTGCTGGTGGATGGTCGTCCGTGGCGGCACGTCGGGCATTCTCTTGCAGGGACTTTCGCTCAAGAGCCGCGACATCCCAAAGCCCTTGCTCGTGGCGGTCGTGAAGAGCCTTCGCATCAGCCTGGGCTTTCTTCTTCTCAGAAGCAACCTGCGCCGAGGAGCGACGGCTGCCAGGCATGTCTGGTCGCCCAGGTTCGTTTGCTCGCTGGCCACGCAGCCCCATAGGCATTGTCCCGACGTAGACAGGTACTACCGGGGCCTCCTCCTCTTCCTGCGTACGCTTCTTCTTTGTGGCGGGTGCTTTGTTCGATCCTTTGTTTGCAGTGGCCTTTGGAGGGCCAGGCTTTCGTCGACTGGACATGGGAAGGAAGGGCAGACGCAAATGCGAGGGGGAGAAGACAAGAAAGGGACTTCGGTGAAAAAAAAAGATGACGCGTCACTGTGCGGAAAAACGGCCCACCGCAGATCACTGCGCATGCGCAGAAGTCTGTCCCGCTGACCTTATCGATGGCCTTCCCGTTCCTCTCTCCCTTTCGCTCCACGACCACGGCCGCTTGTTATGGCTCCATTCAGGGAGAGGAATATCCCTTGTTCTCACTGCCCGTCCTTGTTTACCACTTTTGGCGGACGAACTCAGCACATTCACGCTGCCCATACCCACTCTTCGCCTTCAGTCAGCGTCCCACCACCTCCACGCTCACCATCGCTTCTGCCGGGAAACTTCGGGCCTCCGGAATCTCCACCGCCAGAATCTCCGCCTCTCAACGATGCTCCCGGATCGGGAGAGGGTGTGCGTATAGAAACCCATCCAGTCCTTGATGGTGCGCCGTTGTAACAGCTATCCTTCCCTGTCTCACTGTCCTTAGGTACTCCTTGCGATCAAGATGGATAGCGGGATCCAGATGATTATGGTCCTTTTGCTGACCGGCCTGCGTTCGAGTTTGGAGACTTCCTGTATACACAAGACCAAATGTCCGGTAACCATATCGCACATCTTATGCAGCTACTTGCCGCTTTGTACCCCGAGAATCATCCTCCGTTTGCGAATGACGAAGACCTGTATGCGACTATCGACTCCATTCCACTCGGCGATATACCGTGGCAATCTTTCTCGGTCAAATACACGGGAGAGCTGCCTGATGACCCGCCAACGTGGATGACCGACACATATGAAGTCTGGTTTCGTTCCCCGTTGGACATATTCGAGAAGCAGCTGGGTAACCCGGACTTCAAAGACGAGATGGACTGGGCGCCAAAGCGTGTATACCGGGATGGTAAACGGCAATATACGGACGTGTTTTCTGGAAATTGGGTCTGGCGCAAGGCGGTACGTCCTCTTAGTTATGATAATTCATTACTCAATCAGTTTTTAGGACGAACTGGCGAAAGATCCAGAAAACCACGGCGCTATGATTGTCCCCGTCATTATTGGAAGTGATAAGACTTGCACATCCGTCGGCACTGGCCATACGGAGTTTTATCCAATGTATGGAGGGATAGCCAATCTATACAATGCCGCTCGCCGAGCACATCGGGAAGGAATTTCACTCTTGGGATTTCTCGCGATACCGAAAAGTGAGTTGACACAATTGTTAGACCAGCGATTTCAGAACTTACTTGGCACCTGCAGCTACCCGACAATATGCTCAAAGCGCAGCGTTTCGCAAGTTTCGGCGTCAACTCTTTCATGCCTCGATTGTGCGCATCCTCAGCGTGCTGAAGCCACACATGAAGAAACCCAAAGTAACGCGATGTGCCGATCGCCATTACCGGGCGGGCAATCTACGAGATTGGACCCGTCATTTCCGACTATCCTGAGCAGGCATTATATACCTGTATTGTACAGGGTTGGTGTCCAATGTTCGTGTCTCGTTCCGACTTCTCATAGTATGGCTCAACGCTTCAGATGTCTGTCTCCACCTGAGGATCTCGATAGACATAGCGCCCATCGGTGCAAGGAACATACGCAGATGCTTCTGGATGCAGGTTATACCCTGAAGGAGCTCTGGGATGAGTTCGGCATTGTTGGTGACATTGTCGTAAGTATAATAACTCAGTACAACAAATCCGCACTCATAAACGCGCAGCCATTTACTGATGATTTCCCTCGTGCCGATATCCATGAGTTGATCAGTGTCGACTTGCTTCACCAACTCATCACAGGGACCTTCAAGGATCATCTAGTGGACTGGGTTGTTGAATATATCGAAACCGTCCATGATGCCCAAGAAGCAAGGGAAATATTGGCTGACATAGACCGCCGGTACCTCGCATTTTCTTGATGAAACGGTGCTTATTTAGACCTAGAATTGCGGTTATGCCCCTTTCACTGGGCTACGGAACTTTCCCAAAGGACGAAACTTCAAACAATGGACTGGTGATGACTCAAAGGGGTTAATGAAGGTAAATACTCCAATGCTGATAATTGTGAATTAGTTTTCTCAAGTATATCTAGGTATTTTTGCCAGCAATTGCAGGCCGTGTACTGGGCCCGATGGTACAAGCTGTTGCCGCCTTTACCAAGTTCTGTTACTTGGTGCGACGGTCTGTTATTGACGAAGACGACCTGGATGCCATTGAAAGAGCAATCAACAAATTTCACCATGCACGTGAATCATTTCGAATTGTGCGTCCTGACGGCTTTTCACTCCCTTGCCAACATTCTATGCCCCATTACCCGGCGGGTATCCGCAAATTTGGAGTCCCAAATGGCCTATGCTCGTCAATAACAGAGTCCAAAGCGGTAAAGAAGCCCTACCGTCGCTCAAGCCGAAATCAGCCACTCGGTCAAATGCTTCTCACAAATCAACGCCTCGACAAGCTATAGGCAGCTCGTGTGGATTTCACTGAACGTGGTATGCTTACTGGACCATTAATTCCCCTCCTTCCTGCGCTTGCAATCCCACCGCTTCCAGTGCCACAGCCACAACAGATAGGTGACAGGTCTGACGATGAAGATTCCGATGGTGGTGCTGTTGATGGTCCACAAATTGATGGTGAAGTGACTCTTGCCCGCACTTACGGTACGATCTTAATAGGTTTACAATTACTATTTCACTAACACATGAGTAGTCCGACGTGTTCCTCGGCATCTGGAGCCCCTTGCAGCCTATATACGACAGCCACGATTTCCATTGCTGGTCCGCCAGTTCCTCTATGAACAGCTACATCCAGATATGGAGCTTCCCGAGAGTTTGGACGAGCTGCCAGACTTGTCCACCACACGCTTTTACACCTACAACTCCGCTCGTTCTATCTTCCATGCCCCAAGCGACATCTGTGGAATTGGCGGCATGCGCCGCGAGTATATTCGGGCAACCAAGTCATGGTTTGGCGGTGGTGCACGGTATGACTGTGTGCTTGTTGTTCATGATCGTGATGCTCCTGGCATGCAGGGGATGCATGTTGCTCGAGTCCGGCTCTTCTTCTCCTTCAAGACTGGTGGCACCCTCTATCCATGTGCTCTTGTACATTGGTTTTCTCTTCACGGTGACGAGCCTGATGGAGATACTGGCATGTGGATCGTCACCCCTGACTGGACACACGGGAATCGAGGGCGACAGCCAGAACTTGTGGTCATCCATGTCGACACAATTCTCCGAGCTGTTCACCTTATGCCTGTGTTTGGTCGCGCCACTGTTCCGGAAGAAAACTTTGATGCAACAGATTCACTGAATGCATTTGAGGCATTCTATGTTAGTAAATTAGCTGATTACCATGCACATGAAATCATATATTAAATAAAAGATCTTTGGAAAATCCTTCTGAAAGGCAGAAAAGGACCAAAAGGCACAGAAGTTCAAAAAGATCTTTTGCAAGTCCTCCAAAAGATTTGGTGAATTTCCTGATGTAGGATAGGTGGACTTATCCTACAGGATGCTTGAACATCTATCCTACAGGTTAACCAACCAGTCCTGTAGGAACGGTTCTCTATAGCATATGTAGCAGATATCTGTCCTGTAGTATGAATATGTCCTGTAGGATACTTATACCAATCCTATAGGATAGCTATCCTATCTGTCCTACAGGATGGTAATATACCTATCCTACAGGATAGATACACCTATCCTACAGGATAAAGGAGACCCATCCTGCAGGATACATGAAAGGACCATCCTGCAGGATAATTGAAACAGCTATCCTGCAGGATGGTTGGCTCTCATTTATCCTTCAGGATAGAATTATGTATCCTACAGGTTACATTATTATGTGACAATCTGATCAGAGAGACCGCTACAATCTTGATCTCATCCACTATCTTTGCCTTCATTCTTACAACTATGGCCAGCCCACTTGCTAACATGGCCAGAAATACTGTGGCTGCTCCAGTACTCCAGCATACTGTGCTGCTCTATATCTCAGTTGTTCGACATCTCTGGGACTACATCAAGCTGATGCATGTTCCGAGCTACCATGGGGAGCCTTTACCCTTACCACAAAATGTTATTTCCTTTCTTGCCTTGCACATTCTCCCTGCAGATGGTCTCAACAAGGAAGCTGAAGTTCAACAACTCTGGGAGATACTCAGAGACCATATTATAGAGTGGAAGGGGGTTAATCTGGATACGGAGATTAATGAGCTCTTAAGACAGAATGGCCCTGAGCATGACTTAGGTACATTATATATCTTTTCATTGATAGGATAACTAAACTTCTCAGGTGCTTATATGCTATTACCCCCATATCGGACGTGCCAAAATGCAGTTTGCGATCATCAAGGTGCCAAATTAGGAAATACCTACAAGGTCCTTTGCCAATTGTATACACTTCACAATGGAGTTCTTCCTGTCTATGATGTTGCCCTCTACTGTAGATGTGGGTATTCTATCTAGCTGCAGCCATATTTCTAAACCAACCTATAGACTGTCATACCCGCTACAGATATGCATACTCAGTCTCTCAGGCAATAGATGGCAGCTCTCAGAGAAACTAGTATGAGGACTACAAACACTATATCTATTCTCAAACCACCTCATTTGTTGAAGATAAGCTCTGTGTTATATCCCGTGCATCTTCGGACGCTCCGAGGTTATCCTTGGAGCGCAACAGGGTTTTTACGCAATGAAGGTATCTGAGCGTTTCCCTTCAAGCAGTTAATCTGCACGCAGACTCTCTCGGACCTGTTCAGACTCTCCGCCCATCAACTCGGATCTTTACCCATTTGGACTTGTGTTTGTTTACTTATATCCTTTAGGCGTTCGCCTTGTTTCCTTTGCCTCGTGTATGTCTTCTCGTTCCCCTTACTTACTATGCCTTTGTACTTAACCCGCAGGGTGACGAGCCTGCTCGTCACAAGTCACACTTTGTCACCCAGTTTGATTTCCTATTTTAGTTTCCACTTCCTTTTCTAGTTGCCATTTCCTACCTTAGTTTCCATTCCCTATCTTTCCTGACTTTGTTGCTCATTTTCCATTTGATTTTAGTTTCTATTTCATTTAGCCCTTATTTATGTAGTCTATAAAGGCCTGTCCATAGCTAGTAGTTAGCATCATCCTCCCCAGTGTTTTCCTCCCCTTTCCCTTCTGAGTTTGAGTTCTCTCTTGAGTTCTTGAGTTCTTGGTGTTGAGTTTCCTGAGGAGTTTGTTAGCTCTGAAGGCACTTGCACACTTAGTCCTTGTTTGTCTTTTGGCAAGCAAGCACGTCAAGGGAGATCCTGCGGACCACATCGGATCTTCCTGTGAGGTCATATGCCTTATGTTTACCACTTAGTATAAATACTCGTACTCTACACTCCTGTACTTCAGTTTCGTTATTAACGTTTCTTGCCTCGCTCTCCGCTCTCGTCCGACTCCTCCCCGCGTTCTAAGCCTTATCGCCTTCGGCTTCTCCAAACGAATCCGCAGGAGTTCATGTATTTGTTCAGACTTGCTTTCGGCCTGCAAGACGTGTAGTCGCTCACTGCGATATAGTGTTGTGATAGCCACTCGGTTCTACTTTGGACTTTCCGTTACTTCCTTTCAGTTCTTGCACGGCACTTAACACTCTGTGTCTTCTTTGAAGATCTTATGTGCTCCTCCCAGTGAGTCTAATAAATTTATATATTTTTATATTACCACTCAACTCTATACAGTGTCTCTACGACTAATCTGACAAGATCTTATAACTCTAGCCTTGGAATTACAGACACTGTTCTCCAAACCCATCTGTCTCCACAAATACTTCAAAGTGCAGTATTAGATGCCTTCTACCTTCATGCTCTTCTGAGAAGAGCCCGCATGAATGGAATCCAATTGGTGACCTCACACTATGGAGAGCAAGATCATCGCTTTGATGATACACTGCATAGCTTCAATACTCTAATGGCAGCAACTGGTCAGCCACAGTGTCATCATAGATGTCATGGGTGTTTCAAAATCATCCCGCCAGAAGACTCTGCCAATGGCACTGCTCGTATGTCTGTTATCTTAGCTATCCATCAGTTCTCTTCCTATCTTTCTAGAGTGTATTCATGGTGTGGTTACTGATGGCGTCACCATTGGTCATCCCTGTTGCCATGTTGTCAAGTGTCAAGTTCCTCTGGCATCAATCAAAGATAAATTCTGTCCAGATCATGCTGATCTGATTGATCGGTGTCTTGTGCGGACATGTACTGACAAAGCAGAAGTTGGTCATATTATGTGTGGAAATCCCTCTCATTGTGTGAAGGAGGAGGAGCATAGCAAATCTATGGAACCTGCACTGTTGGATCTGCAACGCCGCCTTGTGAATGGCGGTGTATCAACCCACTCCCCACGCAAGCAAGCAACATCATTGTCTAGTTTACACAGAAATAACGACAAGAAAACGGGAGGTGGTCTCAAGCTTGACCTGACGTGTAACAATACCCACCATGACCAACTTGCTGTTCTGCCCTGTGGTATTATTGTGGCCCCTGCGACTATGTTTCACAGTGAAGGAGTATCTACTGTCAAGGTGCGTAGACAAAGTCTATATGATATCTTTTTATATTTAAGAGTTTGTAGGATTTCTTAAAAGGGATCTTTCCTCACCCATGGCTGCAGCCTTCTCACATCTTCTATGATCATGCATGTGGTCTACTTCAGCATATACAAGCTCAGAATGACCACTCATTTGATCATGTTCGGTTTGTTGTAGATGTTTTCCATGCATGTCATCATCATCAAGAAGACGGAGATACCTTTTGCAACCAGAACACCAATCCAGCACTCTGTCCTGAACTGCGTTTAACTGATGGTTCATAGATGCTCAATTCATCTATAGCAGAGCAAACCAATGTCTGGTATGGAGCATTCTAGGCAATTACTAGAGAGATGTCCATGGCAAGGTAAGTATTATCTTCCTTTTCTTATTATTCAAAACTTCATTATCATTACTAGATTCAATTTTTTCCTAGATGAAATGGTCTACTTGCGCAACGAATGGTTTCCTAGAGAACTCGAGCGCAAAGGCAACCAGCCTTTTCTAATTGATGTGGAGCATGCAAAGGCTATGTGGTTAGCTTCACATATAGAACCATCTCAATCGGTACCTCCATAAAGATAGTTGATCTATTAACTAAGTGTATTCCAATACTGTGTCCATGAAACATAACTTCTACATGCCGACTCCCGCATCTTGGCTGCATTAAAGTCCTTTGTCCGGATAGTTGTATGGATTCCTCCAGAGCGACACTTAGCATAGCTAGATGCCCTAGGTAGTACTGTCCCATGAAGCTCGTCAGGTCGGAATATCCTACAGACCATTTCAATATCAGCTATTATTCAAACAAAACGACCCAGAAAGCATTTTCCTCCATTCGGATGATAACATCCCAGATAGCATAAGCAAAATTAAACTCATCGTCTGCTGCTGGCTTCTTAAGTTGACAACATAGAGACCAGGTAGCATCGCTATCTGGGTGCAGTGGCGCTCCATATTCCCAGCAGTAAAAAGCATTCATACTGCTTTTACCAAACGAGTTCAAATCCTTACCTACTGCATTTATTTCCCTGACTATATGTGGTGCTATACCTTTTGCAGCAGCTAGCATATAGTCGTTTACCTAGTATGGAAATTTCAGAACAGATACAGTCATAGACAGCCCAATGGAACAGGATGGGTCAATGGAACAGCTGAGCTGATGGACAGCTCACGGTCTTGATATGGTGCCATTTCCCTCGGTGTAAAATTCTCGCGTCGAGGGTTCCTATTGACTCACCAGCAATTAAAGGAGGTCGTTGATGGAATCTGTCGCGCTAGATTGGGCAACAAGTTTCCTGAAGAAGGGGTCGGCAAGAAATGGACCCAGCGATTTGTCGAAAAGCACTCTGACCGCCTCAAAACACACTGGACCAGCGCCCGCAAGCATAAACAGGGCCGTGCTGTAAAACCCTACAACCAACAAGATGTGGTTGGACCTTCTCGAGGCAACGCTGGCGGGAGAAATGGATTTCGAGTTTGGGCTGCCGGTACTAGGTGAAGCGCGAGACACGGGCGACGTCGAGGAGGATGCGTTCTCGGACTTCGGCGATGACAAAGACCAAATTGCCGTTGGCAACTTGAACGGTGCCTCGGATGACCTCGATATGGTGCAGCCCCAGCCTGTTGAGTCTATCCCAATTCCTGCAACAGCATCGACAGATGTTGATGGCGACGTCAATATGTTTGGTTTGGCGGATGCAGCAGACAAGCTACCCAACTCGGATGATGACGACAATGAAGAACTGGCGCAACGTCAAGAGCCAGTCGCTATTCTTCCCGAGAACCTGTATGGCGCAGACAAGAGTGGCTTCATGGCGGCCAGCAACACTCGTACATGGGTTATTGGTGTGGCAGGAGCCAAGATGCAACACTAAGACAGCGATGGAGGGCGCGAGAACACAACTGTTCTGTTCAGTGTTTCTGCCAGCGGCGACTCGACAGTGCCTGTTGTGATCTATAAGGGAAAGTCATTTCAAACAGACTGGCTGCAAGATAATCCACTCAACTGCTCGTATGTGGTCTTGGGACTGAACTGATATATGGATCTGAATTATCGTCAGCATCACATATCAAGCAAAGGGTTGGACAGACACGGAGATTGGGCTGTGCTTCTTGAAGGATTTTCATGAGCAGACTAAAGAGCGTGCAGCTGGTCAGGTTCGGGTGCTCCTGGTTGACGGTCACAACTCCCATTACGGCCTCGAAGTTTCTCCGCTTCGTGCGCAAGCATCGGATTCACGTCCTTTGTTATCCAGCACATGGCACACATGTCTATCAAGGTCTGGACGTGGTTATTTTCGGGCCGTTGAAGCGATATTGGACAGAAGAGAAACTTGCCTTCCGTCGCAATACTGGAGAGAACATCAAGAAAAACAACTTCCTGTGCATCTATGCTCGTGCGCATCGCCGAGCAGTAACCGAGTGCAACATCAAGGCGGCGTTCCGCAAGACGGGAGTGTGGCCATTCGACCGTAGTGTTATCACGGAGGATATGATGGCCTCGAGCTTGGAAACCTCCATTCGCGGGCATCTGCCCGTTGCGCCAAATACACCTATTCGCACAGTCACGACATTGATCAGCGATATTCACCGGGCAAAGAGATGACATACAGATGATGGCGAAGAGGACAGCTCCGTGTTACCGTCGTACCTGAACGAGACTCTGAATACCCTTCAAGAAAGCTCGTCGACATTCATCATATCCTCTTCCCCAATCCGGGCCTCGTCGTCACCTCCCCGTTTTGTTACGACCACGATCTCTCTGCAAAATGCACAGAAGCAGACATATGCTGCCCTGCTAGCAGCCCACCTACAAACATCGATGGAAATCGACATGCAGCAGGCCATTCGAGAACTCATTGACAAGAATGAAGATAAAAAATCGGCCCTTGTGCAAATGCAGTCCAGCATGGTCTTGAACGGGGTCTATGTGGACATTGTCCGTAGACAGCTAGCGGCGCATGAGGCAACGAAGGAGAGGTCGAAGAAGAAGAAGACGTGTTTGGTGGGCGATGGATTGTGTCAGGAACAGGGCCGGCCCGGGCCCACGTGACGGTCTCCTGCCAGTCTGACAAGTGTGGGAAAGATGGTTCAACCCCCATAGCTGGGTGGTCGGCAACCAGGCAGCGTAGATGGTGCCACTGCTGCAATAGAGAGCAGGGTAGGGACAGCTCGGGGCGACTCGAGACGCCCCGCTGTCACGTTGTGTGACAGCGATGTCACAGGATACGAGTAGTCGTCTAGAGTGTCCTACCCCTGCTGAAGGGAACGAGTCCATAGCCAAAGAGTGCTGCCTAGTAGAGTCGGTGCCCAAGACATAGGGCAAGGCATAGGCGGGGCCAGTTGAACAAGCCGTTCGGGCGGGGCGTGACGTAACGCGGTCACGCCCGACGGTTCGGGGGTCGAGGGGAGTCGCCCCCAGCAGGGGCTGCGGGCCCGAGACCCCTGGAGCGCTTGAGAAGGGTTGCCAGTCCAAGGGGCGACATATCTCCTTTCCTGGAGAAACGAGTCCCTGTGGCTCCTAGACACCGCGTGACTGCGCGGTGTGACGCGTGACATGCGGGCCCGATCGGGCCCGCACCCTCCCATCGCCCCGTACCAGGGGAACCCAGAGCTTGAGGCCAGAGAGCAAGAAGAAGTGGCTAGGACAAGGGTGAACATAAGAGACAAGAGCCTGGGCTGTCCAGCCCAACCAAGGGCTCAGGTCAATGAGGCAAGCTAGCCTGGAGTGTTGGAAGTCGTCTAGACGCCCCTTTCCCCGGGGGTATGGTCGCAGCAACCCCGCTCTAGGGGACCAGGCCGGAGTAGGGTTCAAAGGAAGAGACTTCAATGCTAAACCTAAGGTACAGGAGTAATACTCTAGTCTTTATATACTGTGGGCGCTAGGGGCCGATCGGGCCCGCTGAGGGTCGATCAGAAGGGAGCAGGGGATGTCTCTGGTGGTCCCTGGTCGCTCCGCTAGGAGCCCAGGGACCATTCCTCTGGAAAGGAGCCATGCCAATGTCGACACTAAGGAGTGTTTGACAATGCAACAGTAAGGAGCTCCCTCCTGGACCCTGTGGTTGTCTAGGGCCGATTGGGCCCGCTGTCAAGGGCGTCCGGCGGCGCATCATGATCCCTGATGGCGGGTCATGATGGCTTGATGGCTGACTAAAGCGCGATCCGTGATTATGTCCCTTCTCTGGGATATTAGTGTTGTTGCTCATTGCTTTGAGCTTGTGAATTATGAGGGCTTGTCAAGCCCTAGGGCTCTAAGGGTGGTGAGGGTCCGATGGGCCGTATAGGGCCCGTTGGCCCGACCCGAACCCTGACAGATTGCCGCGTCTCTTGACAGGGAAAGTTTTTGTGCGACGAGTAACCGCCCAACACAAGGCTGCAAAGGCAAAGGAGGCCGACACAGCAGCACGGAGAGAGGTGATGGCTACGCGGAAGCGTTTAATGGACGAGTGGGCCGAGGTCAACGCAGTTCAGACAGTGTGGAACGAGCAATTGAAAGCTGATGTCGCAGAGGCAGTGGCGAAATGGACAGCGGAGAAAGTGAGGTTGGGAGGGAAGAATCCACCGTGGAAGAAGCCCTTGACGAAGGGCAAGCTCATGCCCGCCATTCCCAAGCCAAAAGTCGTGGCCCAGGTTGCAGCACGCCAAGGCCCATCAGATCAGTCGGAGCCTGTGATTGTTGACTCGAGTTCAGACTCGGAAGAGTCTGAATCTGACTCGGGAGACTGCATCTGACTCGGACGAAGAGGAAGAGCTTGATGATGATAAATAGATCATAATTAGACCGAATTTCAGCTACTAGCATCAGGCTTTACGAGTGTTCTGGTTAGGGGTACTTACCAAATTAGGCAGGTGTCACACCCGAAAAACCCTAACGCACAAAATACTACTCAATGTCGGCTAAAAATTAATATTCTTCTGTGGGAAGTACTAGCAGTCCCAGACAGTACATAGCAACCACAATTCTCATGTTGCGCAAAGATATTTTAAATCCCATCAATTCAGCTGTTCCACTGTTTCATTGGGCCGTCTATGACTGTATAAAACAAATACGAAACAAACCTGAGCAGCGTTCAAATATGTTGTTGCAGCCTGAGGAGTTCTGGCACTCTGGCAGGCATAGCTGCCATACCCTCACCAGGTGCACCACCAGATGCGAGACGATTACCAAGTAGCTTCATATTTCCGACAGCCTGTGTCTTGCTAACCCTCTCTTCTTCACATTTGCATACTCTCCAACCTCTGCATGATTTACACAGAGCTCCTCATCCACATCTGGAGTAAAGGCCTGATACTGAACCGCAAAACGCTTAAATGTGTTGTTAGGTTGAGTGGTTTGGAAAAGGCCCACTTACAAAAGTACCGTCTGATGTCTGAAACTTTGTAATGTCCTGCCCACATGATTCGAAGACCTCAAAACAGCTACCATATATCAAAAATTAGGGACAGTACCAAAGTGTACCTGATATGTTTTGACAAATTGCCATCATATATAACAAATCACCCTTCTATATGATAAATTGGGACACCATTTTTATATATAAATATTTGGGCTGGAATGAGCTGCACTTATTGTCTGCAAAACATGGTCAGGAAGGGGGTAGTCACAATATATCCCCAATATGGAACTCAATTTTTTGTAAATCAGATACAATTTTTGCAACTTTTATTGCATATTGATTAAAGCCGCAAAAAAAGGTTATTGTTAAACATCCGCGGATACAGGTATCGGTTTCCTATGGATGCCAAGAGTACAGGTATGACCTCTGAAAGACCACAATCTTCTCAATCTTGAAATATACCTGAATATATGACAAATACCTATGGATCCCTCGTACAGGTACCTGTTTCTCACAGATGCTGCAAATGCAGGTATCTATAATATTAAAACACAACAGTGCTGGCATTGACAGAAAGTCACACAAAAAGTCATGCATTTTGATTGATGGCACATGAAATTCATGTGACCACCCCCTTTTGCATACGGCAAGCGGCTGTGTGTACAGTTGGCGGGAAGTCTATGGTTGATTTTCGTTTTGTAGTTGTGCTTTGCCTGTATGCTACCTATATATCTAAAGTATTCAAAGCTGCTTTGCATAGGTGCGTGTGTGTGGAAGTTACGTGCACGTGACACACGCACACTCGCACACTCAGACATTATCAACTACCAGCGCGAACCAACCTCTACCATGGAGGACCCACTTCATGAGTGGTCACTGGAGTAGGGAGGCTGTGAGGCAGTATGCAGTTGCACAGTAGGGATACTAGCAATATGCATTCGAGTCAATACAGCAACAACAACATCAACTGCCAGATGCTGACCAGTAGGCTATGGGTTATTGTCCACCTTATCTACATACTCAAGACATTCTCTACTAGTAACACCACAAGCAACAAAAATGACTGTCTTGCTGCCTAACACAACAAACTCTTCATATTGGTTTATTTTTTTTTGTCACTTTATAGGTCTTGAATGATAAGAGGCATTTCCTAATAGATTCCCCATCCCCTGCTATAACGAAGCTTCGGTTTTCCAACCTCCGCATAAACAGCCTTTGCTATTTTATCAAAATTATCAGGAACCTATTGCATAACATGTTTGTGAGTCAACAGCAGTTGCTCATGTAGATCTTTGTAAGGGCAACCCTGGAGGCCTAAGGTCAAGGTCCTAGCAGGGGAGGATCCAAAGGAGTGAATAACAGTAAGCAAATGCAAAGGAAGCTGACCTAGCAGGGGAGGATCCAAAGAGGAGAAACTCTAAGGGTCTGCCTGCTAGGTAGTGGAACTATATACTGCACTTTTGACACGCCAAGTTTGATCATTGCTCCGTGCAGTATGCCTGCGCCATGTCGCAGGCCAGGTCCCAGGGGGATTGCCAGGCGGAGGCGGTGATGCAATTGATTAGTGCTGGCCACCGATACGATACGAAGAATATATTTTCAATATATCGTTGAAAGTACGAATACGATACACCATTTTGATGTGCGTATCGTATCTGTATCGGTTTGATGGAGGAAAAAAGTTTTATTTGCAGTTGTGGTGTGGATTTCTGGATCCTGTAAGTGCCTAACACAAACTATAGAGGGGTGTAGACCTACCAACATTATCTAGGAGCCATCCCGATGCAGTTCAAAGTCAAGAATATGAATACGATACACGATACAGGCTCCCGATATGATATGGATATGATATGATACGCCAAATGGCGTATCGTATTCGGTATTTGGCCAGCACTACAATTGATGGTGGTGATGCGATCACCGGAGCCCCGATTCCGGGCTGAAAGGGAGGTTCCCCTGACAATCTTAGATAACTTCATTAGGAATACCAGTGCCACATTTCTTGAGGTCGAACTGTTAAGGATGGGCAAAGACTTCGTCAGGGGCTGCAGTTGGAAGAAGTTTATTCTTCTGTAAGTGCTTTGGGGTAGAGTAGTCTCTGAGTTGAAGTACATATAAATGAATCATGCTTTTTTCCCCCTGTCCTACAAAGCACAACTACAAACCAAAATTAACCATAGATTTCCCGCCGACTGTACCATGTGGGTGCTGCAAATTCTTTTTTATTATTGTAGTCCATGCCACAGGCACAGACAATTATACTTGTTGGTTTTAAAGCCCAAATTACCTCCAGGTAATTTATCTATGACACTCGTTAGAAGCCTTATTGCATATAGTCATAGATGCCAATATAATAAGGCCCCTAAAACTCTTCTGAGATGGTATATCTGTTTTTTGAATAACAAACAAGCATAATTATTATCGTATCAGGCCTCGGCTCCATGGATATTGGCACAATGATGTTTTTGGAGCCATTTTCCCCATTTTTGAATGCAAATTTTATGAAAGGTGAAGAAGAGAGCTGTTCAAGTGACGGAAGCAATTTCCGTCAAGTCGAGCACGTGCAGCATGAGTGGTCCATGCGCCGGTTTCCAAGCCATACACGTGACACAGGCTTTCTCCTCCTCAACTCCCCACTACAGCAATGGCGTCTTGAAATGCCACTGGCAAGTTCTTCCCATTCCTGTGCTGAGTCGACGGTTGCTCCCCTCTTCCGGGTTAGCAGCCTCTACCGCCGTCTTTAGGTCTCCGAACTTCTTCCCCTAATCAGTGGGATAGTTGTGGTTTACATCTTTCGGCGTTCGCCGCCCGACGTTGTCCAATCTAAAAGTTGGCTGTGCTACCACTGGAAACTGTCCCGCAACCTCTATGTATCGCCGGTATTTCTTGTCCCCCGCGGCTCCAATTGCAAGATGTATTTGTCAGCTGTCGCAGCGGTCAAAAGCCCTATTCGCCAACAGTCTACAAGAAAAACTCACGAAGAGCCTCTCCTCTACTTCGCCTCCTCACCAGCCCCTCCGCGCGGGCCCAAATATCCACCCCGCCCAACACGCCCCGCCCCCAATCCGGCGTCCACTTCCCCATATCGGCATCATGACGCATACGAGTAGTATACTCCCACGGCCAGCAAGCGCATACAAAGCGCGCTTCCATCGCGAACCGTTCATCCGCCTGGCGTGCGATCTCCGCGCCATAACAGACAACGAGGTACAGCTCGAGCTTCGCCGATAGCGCGCGGACGATGGCGTCGACAGTCGGAGCGCCAGGATTCAGCGCGTAGTAGTTGTCAATTGCGAGACGTGTGAGGGCAGGCAAGCGGAGAATGTCGGTCCACGGGAAGTTTTTCTCTGCGCAGCACGATAGATACAGGTGGGTTAGCCGGGAGAGGCGCGGCTCCCGCGACAGGCGATGGTACGACTCGAACAGGGTCGACAACTCCCCCGCGGAATCGTCGGAGCTGGCCAGGCTGCAGCAGGTCTAGTGCACCGTTGATGAAGAATTCGCTGGTGATCGTGAGGTCCTGAACGTTAGTACACGCCCGGAGGACGTTCATGATCTCGATGCCAGATAAGCGCACGGGGCACAGCAGTAAATTTTGAGTGGCCTCCAGATGGTGGCCATCGGACGTAAGAAACTGGGGTACGTCGTGACGGGAAATCGTGAGAAGTGCCGGCGGCGAGGAGCAGTCCGGGGCGTCGATTATCACTGAGCGGTAGAGCACAGGTTCCACCCTGGCCATTGTCATGAGCGCCAAAGGGCGACGAAGGCATTGCCACGCACCATTCCTTCACCCGCCACGCAACTTGCATCAGGGTATACGTGCTGAGAGGATCCGCGGCCGCCGCAAGCATGAAGATGTGCCGCTCCAAGTCGATGGGAAGGCGTGGCTCGATGGACATGGTGGTCAAGAAGAAAGAAGCGGTTTTTAGCGATTGATATCAGTGCCCTTGTACTCAAGTTGACACGCTCGATATGGAACCTTCTGCGAGTCATGGAGCGATGGAGGCCAGAGGAAGCACCTGGACTGACTCATGAATGCATGTACGTTTCGTTTAGACTGACGGCGGACGCACCTTTACAATAACCAATAGTCGCCGCCTTTCTTTCGCCGCCAGTGCTGAAGCTAATTTGTGCTGTTTGCGACTCTGAGACAGGACCCCTAGAGTTGGTCTCAGTGAGCTCCGACTACCGCAGCGAGGGTCATTTTCCACCGAAATCCTGTACGAACGTAGCCCACAACACTGCAAGCAACTTGAACGCGCAGGCGTACGTTCAGCAGGACGTCTCAGGCTGGCACTACTTCGCCACGTAGAGAAGATCATAGCTCGGCGCCGATTCTGAATCGGACGCAGCCAGCCATCTGTGCTCATGGACATGGCGGAGCGGAAGAAAGCGGGTCACACCCGTGACGTATTAGCCGAGGCGCCACGTAAGCAACGACACTTGTCCGCTACGTCCATGTGCAGGCAGCACGCGCTTCGCGGGCGCTCGCTGGAACACTTGCGGAGCTATCTAGAGTGGGGGCCGGTACGTTGGCCACTTCTGCCGGCGCTGATGCGTATGGCTGCGGCTAGATGCCCTCGTTCCGGCAAAAAGAAGCTGGCTTTCGGCGTTCGCTCATTGCGACAAATCACCTACTCCGCATGCTCTGCACCGTACAGTCCGCTGCTCCCAAGCCCCAAGCAACCGGGGCCCAATTAACGTGATGCCAGGCTCTGAGGCTCATCTTTGGCGCTGATTGCTACCGCCTTGTCCTCCTTCAAGTTTCGTTCGAATCACACACTCACTGGATGCTGTGAACGAATATATAGTCCTCTTCCCACAAATATCCTACCGCGTGGCCATTTTCCACGCATCTCACCAGCCGACTCATCTGCTTGACCAATGACGCGACGGCCTCCGTGGCAGCGCAAACATAGGCCGCGTAACACCTCGAATGTCTATCGCAGGGCCAACATTCCATCGCCTGGAATAGCTCACGCGCCGCGTCACCTGCCCCCCACGCGCGTGCTTGTCGCCGCTTCTCGTGTCCGCGTCATCCCACGACTGCTTACCGATTGAATGGGAGTTCCCCCGCACTTCCGCGAATATAAACCCCCGCGCGGCTTGGGCTTCGCTGGGCACCACCATGCTCTTCAGGTCGCTTGTCTGCGCCGCTGCTCTCGTCGGCACCGCATTCTCATCTCCTGCGCCAAGCAAACTCCAGGAGCGCAATCTGCTCGGGCAAGTCATCGATGCTCTGAACCTCGGACTGGTCTCGGACAACAAGGTCTTTTTGACGGTGAGTTTTCCCTTGGGCACCAGACATTTCTTCCTTGCTGAGCCGTCGTTGAGCTGGCTACCCTGACAAACAATCTCGTCTCGTGCGTACAGCTTATTTCACGAGTCTAGCTATATCTGAAGTAACATGCGGCACCAAGTATCAACTTCGACGGTATGCCATACCCATTTCTGGCTCCGTTGGTCCAACTCACAAACATCTCCGTCCAGTGAAGAACGTCCTCCCCTTCGAACTGACTATCGACTCGATCAGCGTTTCCGCAGGTCTTAACGGCACCGTCTTCGCCGCATTCAATCACACCTTCTCCGGCGGCGCCAGTCTTAAACCGGTCGTCGTGCCCGGCTTCGGCGGCACGAAGAACTCCGGCAACATCACCAATGTGCTCCTCACGCAAGGCGTAGACAAGTCGCTCGCGATCGTCCCGTTCGGCGTGCTCGATCTCATCAACGTGGACGTCAACGTGCGGTGCGTAGACTGTTGCCTAGGCTTGTCGCGGGCCGCATTAATAGTGATCATAGCGCTCTGACTATCCTGGGATTTGGCGGCACGCCTCTCCAGATCACCGGTCTGAAGCAGGCGAGCGTGCCCACAACGTAGGTTGGATTTGGCTCACCAGAAGTGCGCTCATTTTCATGTGCAGATACTCCTTGGACCTCAGCTGAGCACGTTAATATGGAGATTGAAGAATCTTAGCGCGAGCTCGGGGTTTATGTATTTGGGCGAAACAAGGCTAATGTCTCTTGTGAATACAAAGAGTGCGGTGTGAATATTCACCCAGGTGGCGTGATACCTTCGATGCGCTCGGCCCGCTGGACAAACGCCGCCCAGCCTAAGCAACGTGGGGTCCGGGGGTGCTAGTGACTTGAGGAACTCGGCAGAAAGTACTCGTTCTCTGCCAGTGCGGGTTGGTCAAAGACAACTAGGGACGAATATAGGGCCACGTACCAGGAATCTCTCCCGCTCGTCGCTGCGCAACAAAACGCTCCGCCCGTGCCCAGTAGTCCTCGGCTCGTAAACAGCCATACTGCCAATCCGCCGCGGACTTGCGCACATCCGTTGGACGGTTAACCACAAAGCGGGGGTCCCTCGTGAGGGCACGTGGCGGAGTTATGGACTCGATCAGCGCGACGCCGTCGAGGAGTACAACGAACAGACACAGCTGGGTCGACGCGCTGCCGCCAAGTAGCTCCTCGTAGACGCCTGCCCTGAAGTCGTCGCCATTGCTGCCGATGGCGAGATGAGTCAGCGCGGGCATGGCGAGAACACGTTCGTATCCGCGGACAGCGTCGTCCAAGGTATCGGACTCGAATGGATCACTGAAGAGCTCGAGGTGGGTCACATGTGCAAACAACGGCGTGGTAGCAAAGTCCGTGCGGTCGACGTCCACGAGGTACTCCAGCTGGCCGTACAGCCGGCGGAGTTTGAGGACAGGCCGTGGTGACGGTAGCGATGCGTGACTCTCATTAGGGGCATGGGTGCGGACAAGGCAGTGTTGCCAGAAGCTTCCCCAGATGAGGTACAAGTTCTCCAGCCCGGAACACGCATCCACAACGGCGCGCACATCCGCATCCGTAAAGCGCGGCGCTAGCACATTCCGCACCGCCCGCCCGAGGAAGTCGCGCCCCTTTGTCGCGACCATCTCTGTGAACTCGTCCCAGTCGCAGCTCGGCAGCTCAGCCAATGCCGGGCAGTCCTCAGAAGTAAAAACCAGTGTGCGGTACAGGAGAGGCTCGACCCTGAAAGACACGTCAACATCCGCATCATCCGCAAAACCGGTGCCACACACCACTCTCGGACCCGCTTTGCTACCAAGACTAGTTTGGGGATATCCTTCGGCAGGAACAGCGCCGCAAGCTCGAATATTGTCAGCTCCATCTCCACAGGCAGACTCACGATTGGTGGAGAAGAGATGGATTCTTGCATGATCGCCGCAGAGATGGTGGTCGGAAGCAGAATTGAGTCACTGGCTGTCACGCGTTACGCGGCAATCAATGCCCGCTGATCGACGAGCTCGCACAGAAGGCGACTGACGGAGTGCCGCGAGCTCGTCATATTCAAGCTGGCTCCGCTCTCCAGGGTACACCGTGGCCAATGCAAATCCGAGGGCCGCTCTGCCGAAAAGAAAGGGAAAAAGCAGTTGTAGAAGATATCGATAGTTTCGATACTCCTGAGTCCTTACCTGTCAGGCTGCGGGTCGGGCCGTGCAAGGTCTCCTTCTAAGAATGCGTGCCCGGAACAGAACAGACAGATCGTCGGGCCCGCAAGTACGGCGAGTGGGGTAGATCGAAACCGAAAGGGCCTGTTAACTCGGTCCCTTGCTGCTGTTAGTAGTCAAAGGTTCGAATCGGGTCGTGTCGGGCCCGATGAGTCAACAGTACCTCTTTGCACGGAGAAAGGTGGTTCTTTAGACGATCTAAGCAATAGAGTCCATGGTACGCTATCGCGCATTATATACGAAGCCCCGCAAAGAGGCAATCGGACACTCTGGCCTCTCCTACTCCTCCTCGCCCCTGTTCCTGGCCACAGAGGGGACGATCGTACATCCCTTGCAGGCCAGGCACTACTCCTAACCTCCTAGCACTCCTCCCCAGTTCCCTGGTGTCGAGTTGGGCTCGGCAATGGCTCGACATGTCATTCTCGGTCATGTGCTTCCCACGTGTGCATTCCTCCTACTGGGGCGCGTGTTCCCTGTTGTCACATGCTGGGTGCTACGGGCCCGCAATGGCCTGACACCAGCGCTGGAGCAGACGGGCCGGGTCTTATCCGTGACATTACCCTAGATAATAAATTTCCCTCACACCGCCTTTGACTGAGTTGATGGACTTAATTGTGGGACGGCTGGATGTTGATGCGGGACCTGAGTCTGGACCCCACATCATGTCGTGATATCTCAGCAGATCACGTCCCAAAACGGTATTGATGGGCATCTTTATTCCGTGCTCAAGAAATAACGACATCAGTGTATATTAACAATGACAACCCAACCAATATTGTTGTCTTCCATCAACGGCTTGTGGCGCCGGGCCACATGGCCTGCTGCGCAGAGCTTTTCTTGTTCTTTCCCTGATTTTGCAGGCTTAATCAAGGGTATTTTCACAAGATTGGACCCTGACCAGGGCCCCATGCTGCCGCAGGCTGCCCACCACAGAGGCTAAGTCCCACTGCTGATCTTGCATCAGAGGGCCTTGGACACGATCAGAGTGACTCACCCTGAGGATTCAGAAGAAAACTGGAGGATTTTTAAAAATTTTAATGAGGGTAATAATTGGCCAAAAAAGGGACACCTCTCTTTGTTGGGGAAAAAGACCCAATAAATAGAATAGCAATCTTGTCAGAAAAAAAACAGTTAATATTATAATACAAAAAGGCTTTTTGTGATTAAAAAAGTTCCATTTCTTACCCTACAGGCAAGCTTTTTTGCCACAATCTGGGAAGCTGTTTTTTCCTAATGATTTATTTGCTATTCACTTGATGATTTTTCAAACTCGCACTTTTCTGCCCGAAGGTAAAGCTTGTGCTCTCAGGGTTGTTATAGGACCAATCAGAATGACGTTGAGGTAGATCATGATGTCACTAGAGAGAATGAGGTCCTGCAAAATGTCATTCATTATGGTCTGGAACATTGCAGAAGAGTTGGTCAGGCCTAAATACATCACTAAGGGCTTGAACAGGCCTTGGTTGGTCTAGAAAGCTGCTTTTCATTCCTCACCTTCCTTGACCTGGGATACCAGTTTTTGACAATTAAAGCCCGGTAGTCCCAGATGAAGCAGAGTCCACCAGCCTTCTTTTTGACAAGGAAGACCAAAGACGCCATCAAGACTTGGAGAGGCAAATCCAGCCCATCAATGTAAGGGCAACCTGGCAAGGCTCGATATCAGAGTCCTGAGCAGAGGGGGAATCCTTAGTGAACTACTACAACAGGAAGGGATGTTACACACTCACCTGAGCAGAGGGGGAATGCTTAGAGAATAAGCCAAGGAGCCCTCCGCCCAGGTGTACTACTATATATCAGTGATCAGAGTAATGATAGAGTGACTGCATAGTGACGAATGATGGATGGGAGGAGTCAGGTGTCACTAATAGACCCTAGCTGAGTGTCACGTAGCCCTCGAAGCTCTGGAGAGGCAGGTTGGCAACTGTGATGCCAAGGGAGGAGCCCAGGCATCCTTAGAAGACCCAGGAAGGACTTCGGGAGGTCCAGACTCCAGGCTGCCTCTGGGCATCTCCGCTTGTGACCGTGACTGTGACAACCGGAAGAGGGAAGGAGTCTGGTCTAGCCCAAGGGGCCCGGCTGGGGAGTATTGGAGAAGACCAATGGGAATAGCAGCCAGCCATGACCACTGCAGGGTAGCCATAGGCGGGGTTACTTGGAGACGTCCCCGGACGTCACCAGAGAGGTGGAGATGTGAGGGTGTGCAGCCAGGGGCGCTGCAGTACGCACGAGCCTTAATGGCATTGGGCCTCACCCAAAGCAAGACCTGATGACGAGGGCCATGGTGGCGGAGTGGAGAGCGGGGCCATGGCAAGGCTCAGCCATCCGAATGTAAGCCTGGACGCTGACATAGGTTGGGGATACCCAAGAGGTTCAACGGATAGAGATCACGGGGAGACCTTGATGAGTGATGGCCCAGAGAGGCTAGAAAGCTATAAACTCAACATCTCAGAGGAAAATGGTACATCCACATCCAGAGAGGTCTCTGATGGCATTAGTGATCCCTGGTGGTGACTCTAGGGAGACTCCCAGAAAGGGCTGGCCAGGGAGTCAAAAACTGGGGATCACTGAATAGGCGATGTAGTGGAGGTAGTGGAGGGAGAGTGTCAGGAAGACCCGGTGCTTGATGGGATCAAGTGACGGCATCTGGGTTGCTCAATGGCATAGTCCCAGGCTCTCTGTTCCAGTAGCGTGTCAAAGGACTCTTTGTTGAAGACATCTTGGAACTCTTTAGTCCAGTTTGGGATCTCATAGGATGGGGGTGCAATGGGCTGAAGGGGAGGTTCTCTTTGGTTCGGACTTTGAACTTGTTTGGACTGGTTCTGGCAGGCAGACTGCTGGCTGAACTCCAGCTCTTGATCTTTCCGCAGGGTCACGTGTATCTAAATTGGGTAATACCCCATAGGACTGTGCCCCCTCAAGGGTGTGTTACCATTGCCCTTTTAAGCACTTTTGGTGTAAATAATTATGCCCAAATGAGCTTTTGGGCATAATTATTTGCACCAACTGCTGTCGTGGGATGTTTCTGTGCATTTTCATGCCTGCCACCAGTTTTTCCTGACTCCCTCCACCACCTTCCCAACACTGCCTGTCACCTTATGACCACCACACAAGCAGATTCTGCATCACCAAACCTATCCCATCCACCCACACCTTCTTCACGGCCGCAACCGCATAAGCCTGAGTGACAAATGCCACCTTCACCCCAGGCACCCACTCCCGGCCTGCCAGCACTGTCACGTCCCCATCACCTATCCATGCTTCCAGTCCTGGTCCCGCACCTGCCCCAGGCCCCTGGATACTGGATATATGACTGACACAGTGTGTGGCAGATGTGGCACCTGCTGTGACAGTGCTGTCTTACAAGACAGTGGCAGCTACATTACAGCAATCTGTCCATTGGAGCCTTGGAAAACCCGGAGATGTGCGTGGCAGAGCGGGCGCACAGCATGGGTTGTGGGTAGAAGTGTTCTCACGACTTGGGGATTGGACCCCTATGCTGGTGGAGGCGCAATCCCGCCCCTGCACAGCTTCTGTGGCAGGTGCCACAGAATCAGCTGTCAATCCCTGTAGAATATGCAAGAAGCACACTGTTTTATTATTCTAATTAGTATCAGAATACATGATCATAATGTTCTGCCACACCCAAATTTTTGACTAGAAGGGCGGGACAAGGCAGGTATCACGAGACAAGTGTTGGAATCATGGGAGCATAAATGGCTTTTTTTTTGGGAATGTGTGACCCTGTGGAAAAAATCACATCTCTGAACTCCTGAACTTAAGGTCTAAATAGTACAGTAATTGATCTATTAGTACTAGGTGTAAGTGATATGTTGGTTTTATAACTTTCATTTTCGTTTTGTGTTTCTCTTACCATCCCTCTAATTTCCTGCATTTCATTGGAAAAGATTGTAATGCAGGCAGGTCCATATGGTATGGGTGACATGTCATATAGTATGTGTGATGTGTCCCAGCATGTCAGTCGTTTATTGTTCTAACAAATTCTACCAGTCCTTATAATAACCTCATCAAGTAAAAAAAATACATATCTGTACATAAAGGGTATAAATTAGCTGCAGATCATGTGTGTTGCAGAATAGATCACTTAGACTGGACGATACTCAGGCAATGCCTCCTCATAAATATTCATACTCTCTCCATTGACCCGGTTATAGAGCATCCGTACCAGCTCTTGCATGGATGGTTGCTGCCCTGAAAATACTGGCTCAGGTGCAGATTCCTGTTGGGCCAGAAGGTGAGAACTTAAGGGAGTTCTGCCAGTGGTGCCACTACTGCCTAAATCTTGAGGGGGCATGCTGGATGAGTATGGCAGCACTCTCTGTTTTGAGCTATAAGATGCTGGTTGGCAATCTACTGTCACTGGCTGACTATCAATGCCATAGCTTGAAGATATTTTCCCCATAGGCATAGCAGTATGTTGTGACTCAAGGAAAGGTGTCTGCAACCAATGCTGTCTGAGCTTCTGCCTTTGACAAAGCACCAAACTAATTATCAGTGCGAGGAGAGTGAGTCCACCAATAATTCCACCTGTAATAGCACCAATCCACACCTTGGCTCTGGCATTCAGAATGGGAGTGGCTGAGTTGGTGGGCAAGGATGGGAATAAAGGCACTGGATCATCAAGAGCAAGTGAGCTAATCAATGCTTGAATAGCATTGATTTGGCTTTCGGCATCAAATGTAGTGCCTGCAGGCCCTTGCCAAGACCCTCCATAAATATCACTGCTATTCTGCTTTGCAAGGTCAGCAACAGCATTATACTGGATTTCCTTTGGTAAACATGGCCGTTTTGGGAGACTAACTACAAACATACCTGAACAGCAAGATATGATGCAATGGCTAACCGCACAGATGGACTTGTTGCATTGCGTATATATACAGCAGCCAGTCCACGAGGGATTGATCCATCTCCTGTTTTGCCACCTATGATGCAGCTTAGTCACAGACAAGAAAAAGGAAATATAGCATAGACACACTTCCGGACTGGATAATTCCTGTACTGTCTTGCCAAGCATTTGTCAAAAGTGATGCAGAAACAAGTTGGTTGAGCCTACATATATCAACTGGATATAAAAGCCAACCGAAGACAAAATCTTACATGTCAACATAAGACCTATTCTGTGATATGCCATACAAGATGGCCAGGCCCTCCATCACCAGGCCCGAATTGTAGGGTAGGAGGTCTGGAACAGTTATGGCACAGTTGTCTCCAGCACGAGCAGAAACATCATTTTCTATAAGACCTTGTGTGTTGTAGAGGTGTGAATGGATAAATGCCATGGACTGAACAGCAGCTGTAAGGTAGACAGGGTCTGAGGTTGCCTCAGCAAGCAAGGCAGATAAGCTGGCAATGGGAACTATGAGATATGTGTATATTTGAAACCAGAACTGAGGGAACAGACATGAAGAATCCCCTATGGCAGATGTAAGTTTAATAGAACTATTCTGTGGCTATAATGACATACCCAGTTGCAGTCACATAGATGGATGAATCTTGTGGGTCCTTACTCTATGCTTGTTTCAGATAAAATAACAATTCCTCATAAAAGGATAGTAACCCAAAATGCCCCACCTGCCAGAGTAACTTGGTTGGCAGCATCAGCAAAAGGAACTTGATGACATAGAGGGTCTATACCTTGTTGACATGAAGCACTCAAATTAAAGTTCTTGGAAGGCATCTTTCCCGCCAGGAGTTCTGCCTGACTGATAGTATATGGTACTGCTGCCCACCATGATTGAATTGCATATTGAAGGAACACAGGGACCGTATAGGTCTTGTAGGCAACAATGGCCCCATGTCCAAAATTCCTATAAAGAAGTAAGCCTTTGCAGAGTATAGGAGATACAATTTCGCGTACAGCCCAGAGTTAAGCTAAAATCCCATGTGATCATTTACTATCAGTCTACTTTTAGCCAATGACACTATAATTTAATCAGATTATCCAAAATAAGTCTTATTATGGTTCTTCACTGACTACAAATTGACCTGAGAAATTTGTCATTCCAGATGCCTCAAGCACAGTCTTTGCTGATGCATAGTATTTTGCAAGATCAGCAGCATAGTTTGACTGATTTGTGAGTTGGTCAAATTCTGCGAGTTGAGAGTACAGTGCGCCCGAGAGGCCATATGTATCACCTGAACTGGTAAAACTTTTCAAGTTCTACAAAGAGTGAAGAAGGTATTACCAGGGTTAGGAAACATCGAGTTGATGCTGTTAAACTGCGAGACTGCCTGCGATATTGCCCCTTGAGCAAGGCTGATTCTGTCTTTGCGTAAGGTGGTGATGTTGGGTTTCTGTAGTTGATATGGTCAACAATGATCTAGAGGAATGTATTATGCACGAACACGCCATGCTGAGTCCAGTGATTCGGACTGTGAGGTCACCCTCACCACAGCAGTAGCAAGGAGGAGGGGAAGAGCATGCATGAGATGTGTGTGCTGGCTTGTTAACCTTAATTACTTTCTGCGGTAGCAGTTGGAGGGTAGGTATCTGTCAAATGTTACATACTGACCCGCATATGTGCGGTGCCACTGTGATAGTGCAGCTATGCGGAAGAGCAGTCATGACGCATTATTAGGCATCATGCTGTTGCTGGGTGAAACAAAGGAGGTGCTGCAGAGCCTGAAATTTCAAAGCAATGCAGCCCGTGCTATGCAGCAAGGAAACTTGAAATTGATGGACCTGAGCAACGGTGATTCAGTTCCGTTTCTGTAGGTCGGGAGCAATCTACAATACCAAAAAGTGAATGTGGACAGTGTGGACTAGCCATGACAATCCCGCGCCCGCTGCGCTGGTGCGGGATGCCGGCGCGGCACCTTACAAGGTGATGCGCAATAACCGCGAGATGGCATGAGCATCTATAAGCTGTCTGGTTGATTGAGCGCTGCCCATGCAGTGCGATGGTTAGCCGCCCGCTACCACCGATGTCACCAAGTGAACACGGAACATCATCAATGGTGGGGGAGGGCCAGGACCGGGGTGCGGGCAGTGCGCAGACACGTTCGTCCGATCGTCGTGCCGGAGTGCCATATATGAGCAGCCGGTGTGGCGTGCCCGTGGGCAGAGATGTTGATGGAAACCGCGTGTCACTATGTGTGCCGGTCGTGGGACCCTGGGAGGAGGAGGAAAAGAAGACAGCGTGCTTACAGGATCCACAGGCGATTTTTGAAAGGCCCAAACACAGAGCGCGGTTTATTGCATATAATTAAGGATCTACGCGCGCCGGCCCGGACGTCGCCCGCGCAGCCGCCCATGCGGCATCGGTCCACCACAGGTTCTCCACAGGCATCGAGGGCTCGCGCTTGAGGCCCGGATTGTCTGGCACGGGGTCAGCAAAACGCGAAAACGGAAAATACAAACACACTCCAGAGCATAACATACCGCCGCTCACCCGTTGTGTTGACATAACTCACCGGCGTCATTTGGAAGCCGTGCGCGCGGAGCTTCGCGAAGAACCCGCGGACCGCGCCGAATGTCGCGGCCAGCAGCGCAGATAGGGCGGCGGGGTCGCGTACAAGAATGCCGCGGGCCGTCCAGACGAGGGTTTGCGCATTGTCGCGCTCACGGGCCATCCTGTTAGGGAATCAATCACAGTGTGCAATATGAGGAGAGAACCCGCACTGGTACAGCTTGGGGAGGAAACCGAACTCAGGAATCGAGCACAGCCAGGGCGGTGTAGAGTCGGCGTCAGCGTCAGTCCTGACAGGCGGGGACGGCAGGACATCAATGGGGCTCGGCTGCGGTATGTCGAAAGGCTCGCTCGATGTCAAGGAAGATTGAGAAGTTGGTTGAACTTGGCGACCGGGGGAGTATGTGCTGCACAAACATGGACGCGAGAACGGGGCATAAACGTCTGTTGGTTACGCACCTCATCTGCTCAGAGGCCTCGCTTGACGAGCTTGATCTAGACGAGCAAAAACGAGCAGACGCCGCCCATTCCGAGTCTGAAGACAAATCTGGTTCGCTAGGCGATCCCTGGACCGCGACCACGCGCCTCCTGCCACTCTTCCGGTTTCCCGTTCGCGGATGCGGGCGCACTGCCAGCCAGTCCGCGCGTGTCGATGTCTTCCTTAGCGTTGGATGCACTAGACTGTACTCAGCTCCAATCCGCACGTGGTATAGTCATCTGACACGAACCCCAATCCTCCGCAACCCCCCGCGTCCGGCGGGAGAAGCCATATGCGCTTAGTGTACGAGCAAACGAAGCGGGTAGGATAGGCCTCGCGAGGTGCTGCCCCGCACGCAGGACCTCGACCGCAAACCGCTCCGGGTCCGGAATGACAATCGCAGGCCGCGCAGAATCATCGGCAGTGTGGCCCCAGGCGATGAGTCCTCGGACATGGGTGTCATCGACAGTGAGCATCCTGCATTGTCAGATTAGCATGCGTGGATAGTGGATGGTGGTAAGGGACGCACTGGTACACGTTTGCCATAAACGACATGGCAGTCGAAGAAGTGGGCGATCAGGAAGTGGGCACGACATTTATACCCCCTGCAACGTGCTCATCGCTCCAGGTCGCAACTCACGTGCAGGAGCGCTTCTTCCAGCTGGACTTCGTCAGCCGGATGACGCGGTTGATCCCATGGATTCCCAGCGCATGTCGATGATGACCTTGCCCCGGACTCTCCCTCAGCAGCGGCGGGCGGGTCAAACCGCATAGTAGGATGACATGTGCATGGCGTTCGCTGCGGCCCGGCGCGTGGTGGTGAGATTTTTGGCGATTCCCCAGCCGTCAAGCGTAAGAGGGCGTCGGCGGAGGGCCTGGATCAGGCACTTTCAATCAGCGCAGGGAATAGATGAAGGACGCACGAAACGCACCATTGCCCCGCTTGCCCGCGTTGTGGTGAACTGTGGTACCTCCTACCCCAGAGAGCTACCATTTTGTCCCACCCCCACCATCAGCAGCGCGGCGCGCCAAGGCCCACCCGCTGGGTATGTTTCCCCCATATCCTTCCTGCCCAACGGCCTAGGACCCCTCGCTAAAATGTGTTGACGCTAGGATCGACGTGGGAGGGTGGAAGAAGGCGTGTCACGCGGTGACTATGATCGCTTAGCCGCCAATTTGAGCACGTGCAGTATGGGTGGTCCGTGCGCGGGCTGCCAAGCCACGGACTTTCTCCTCCGTCATCCATCTTGCTCGAGGCAGCAGCTCGACCCACTCACGACGCCGCTAGGAATCCGAGCCCTCACCACCATGCACTTGACGTGCCAGTGTCACTCTCCTCTTTTGGGTCAGCAACATCTACGTTTATCAACTCAATTGACCTTCACAGAGTACTTAGTCTAACTTCCGCATTGCGTAGTCCGAGGAAAGTCCGAGGAAGATTGAAATCAAAGAAGCCTGCGCATCATCCACAGCGCATGCCGCCTGCACGGAAGACTACGGAAGCTTGAGCTTATTCACTGTCCATCGGTTCTTCTTCCTCGACGACGTCGACCATGTGCCGCGACCCGAGGACGTTCACTGGCAGTGGCATCTACAAGCAGCAGACGACGGGAACATCTGCATGGCCAGGGACAACCCTGAGCAGACATGTGCGTCGCAAAACGTCCATACCCCCCACCCATACAACTCATACACACTGCACAGGCGTCGCTCTCCTCGTTGAGTGAGTTGTCTGACTCCCGGGCCGTCCCCAAGAAGCACCACCGTGACCACCCATCCAATCTTAAGAATAGTGGACGTATCCAAGTTCAGGTGAGTGGTCGTCCCTCGAAGTCTGATTTGCTCAACAGGTGTATCGAGTACAGCGAGCTCAGCGCAAAAGCAAAATCGACGTCGACGCTAACATCGGCTTAAACTCCATCGCACTCATACCGAAAACCACTATTGCCGGCCGTGCTCATGTGGGTGTCTTCCGCCATAGTCGTCATCCACCGTTAAGCTAAGTATGGGCGATTTAACGTATGGCCAAACGAAAGGATTTCGAAGGGATTCCGTTGGAAGACGACCCAAACGACGAGAACTACCGTGTACGTTGAAAGCTTGAAGCGCCGAGTCATCTGTTTCCGTCCTTCCTGGACTTACGCATAGATGATTAGGCTCCCCAGGCACACAAACGCGCGCGGTATAGCTGCTCGGAATCCGAGTCGGATGAGGCGGACACTGAAGATTCGGATGACGATAACGACGAGCTGTCATCTTCTAAGTCCCAGCCAGATGCGGAAGCTACTGTGAGCGGTTTTCTTTGGGCATGCGACTTCGCTGTGACCCTCGTTTCAGACTTCTACCGTTGCTTCAGTCCGGAAAGGCGCAGTGACTCCCAAGATTGCGATGGGTCGGGCAAAGTACAATGTATCGAGCCCGCCCCTCAAACGGGTTCGATTGGACCGTAGTCCGACATTGACTCCTCCAATTGAGGTCCTCGCTGAAGCAAGTAGTGACATCACTACTTCACCTCATCATGTTTCGCCTCCTCATTCTCCTACTTATTCGTTCTGCAAACTACATCCGCTTCTCCCCAATGAGCTTCCCATATTAGCCCGGTGCCACTCGGGGTCTGCCACTCTTGCAAATGAGTTTGGCGCATCAGCATTTACCATGTCTTCGGACTGCATACCTGCATGCATGCCTTCAGACATTCTTTAGACGCCCGTCAATCGCTCGGAATAGCTCTGAATAGCTGTGCCACTGCTGTCGGTGCGAATGGCCTCAAGGCTTCCCCTCCTCTCACTTCCTGCGGCCATGAGCTCTAGCAACGACGGCTGCGAAACTGGTGCTAACTGTCGAACCCAGTACGACATCATCTGGGGCTGTCTCATTACGATCTTTGCCTGCGTGTGGGTATCGGTCCACCCAAACCTCCCTGCGCGGCCGTCAGGGCAACAGCCGGACGACGGCGACTCGTTTTGGGTGCGATGGCGATGGTTGCTGGTGGAGGGAACATATGCCTTCCGAGCCCGAATGAAGCTCATGCTAGTGGGATTGCTGGCCCCGGAGCTGATAGCGGGCTTTGCGTTGAGGCAGCGGGTGATGGCAGGGAATTTCTCTCAGAGTAAGTGTACTTGCTGCTCGGAAAAGTCGCTATATTATTGACATCTCACTGCCAAGAACTTTTGGTCTCCAGAACACACGGGTTCTTCATCTGCATGGGTGGCTTCGTGGACGAAGGACGGCATCCAATTGTTACCTGGGGTCAGATTACAGGTGCCTCGGGCTTCTATCGCGTGCCGAAACCACATATTTTGCAAAGGGATGCACCCCCTACACTTCTTGCCATCAAGCAAACAACCCGCAGCTTTATTATGGATAAAAGCAAAGGCGACGTGGTCACCAAAGCCGTGGCCTTCAGTCAGGGCGCCTGGTTCATTGCGCAATGCATTGCACGTTTGGTACAACACCTCCCCTTCACGCAGCTCGAAGTCGCCACGCTCGCCTTCGCAGTCGTCAACATATTCACCTGGGTATTGTGGTGGGACAAACCACTGGATGTTCAAGAGCCGCTTGTCATAACAGCGGGCCCAGAAGTCTCGGAGCCCTACCCACGAGATGGGCCCCCCGACAAGGCGAACGCCTTTGTCACCGGATTTGTGCGACTCATGGGCTTGGCCCACACGAAGGATGCCTGGAGCCCTGAAACCGAATTCAGTGTCCCCACATTCTGGTTTGCCACCTGGTCGGACACTCCTGCAGAGATGGAAACTCTCTGCGTACTCGGGGAGCTTGGCATCGCCTGCATCTTCGGCGCGATCCATTGCGCCGCCTGGAACTCGATCTTCCTCTCCGGCGCGGAGAAATGGCTTTGGCGCATCTCGTCAATCTTTCTGACCGGCGCGCCATTAGCAGCTATGTTTCTCTCTCGCATGTCCTTGTCCCACAAGAATCGGACGATGATGTGGGTCATCGTCCTCCTTTATGTCCCCATTCGACTGCTTCCTCTGGTTTTACCATTTGCCGCCTTGCGCGGACTCACGGGCGGAGATTTCATCGATGTCAACTGGAGTATTTATATTCCTCATTTGTAGTATTTTGCTGTTACATACTTGTAAATCCTAGTCAATCTTTAAGCAAGACAAGTACGGTCTGAATATTGAACTTGAAAAGTAGCTCGACAATTACAGTAAACTCAGTAAACTCGGTACACATATACATGTTAGCAGCCTGAGTCACAATAGCCCTGTACAATGTTCATACTTGTGGATTCTTTTTCAAGTTAAGCGACTGTTCTTGCAAAAAGTCGGGGTACTTATATTAGGAGCAAAAGCTATCTGAACAGGATACCGATCAAAAAGGGGACGAATTGGTACCTATAGAAGAGGGCTCGCGCCAGTAATAGTACATATGGGCTGCATTGCGGCAACGACACCCGTTTTTTTTCGATAGCACAGCCACCACAGCAACGACGATTTGGAATAGGGAGAATACGAAGCTAACAAGTCCGGGAGGCGGTGGAGTGGAGCAATAGGACAGATTGAATGGGGTTTTTGGAAGCGAGAGCGGCCACATGAGAGGATGGGGAGCAGAACATGACTTTTGCCTTCAACGGCGAATTGCATGGCAGAGAATCCCCCTCATCGGCTGTTATTTGGGGGAGACGGAGGATTCGAGATGTATAATGTCCGAGGGACTACAGGGGATGTTGACCCAATCGTTGAACGGGGTTTTGAAGAGTTCTCCAAATCGGGTAAGAACCGACGACTTCGGGCATCGGCGGATTGACAAAAACCACGACAAAAACCGTGGCGGGAGGCGTGGCCAGTGCTGAGAATAATATATAGTACGAGCCGAGAAGTGCTGGGACGGAATACGGGACCTTGCTATAGAATTTCGAAAGTGTCGATGCAAATTTGAAGGGGGAGGGAGTTTTAGGGTATGATGGCTGAGCGTATTTGACCTGCAGATGGCACTGCGAAGGTGCACCGAGTGTGTCCAAGCGAGAGAATTATCGCTTCAAAAGTCCCAAGCCCCGCCGACCCTCATCTCGCGGAGCCCCCTTTCATCTATGGTGTCCCAAAATCCATCTAAATGGCCGCCAAGTCCATCTTTTCGCTGAGAGTATTGGTGATGAGAATGTTGATCCAGATGGAGGTATAAGTGAGAGCTAATGGAGAGGGAGGGAAGGCAATGTCGAGAATCGAGACGATGCGGACACGAAATATGGCGATGTAAATGCCCATTTTTGACAACGAGCAGTTGTATTACGAGACCCAGGTATACAGCGCATTCCGATATTGGCCACATTTGTTGATTCGCGGACGCAACGAAGTATCATTTCGCGTCGTCAAGTTTTCCTGCAAAATGGGTCATTCGTCGTTGCCCAATCTTTTCCTCCCTTCTAGTCGTTCAGTGTAGCACAAGACGTCGACCAAATGACGAGTAAGACCGCCTCGCGGAATGAGGACAACCCAAAAACACCACTATAAACGAGATTTGCTTCAGTCGTGCGACAAGAATCAAAAAGAACCGGGTAGCACGCACCGTCGTTGCCTCATATTTATCTCAACCCTCTTATTTGGCTCCTTCGACTCCCTCCCAGTAGACGAAAGACGTGTATATTGTGATTGGAAGCTCGGCAAGTAAGGATTCGCAGCCTGGCAGCTAGCTCCACCGGAGGTCAAAATGGTCCCTGAATAGTGACGGTGGCCAGTCTAGAGGGGATGCATGTCAGTATACCGCACACGCACAAGTATAAGACGACGCACGGAAGACTGAGCTGGTGCGGTCGCATGGTGATGGTGGTCGAGTAGAAAAGAGAGGAGAGAAACGTGATCAGCCTGTCATCGCGTTTCTCCTTGCAACAACAATATCCTCAACGTCCAGTCTAGCACACACGCCCAAACAGACTGTATCTTCTCGCTGCAACGGCTATATATAGCCCTTTCTAATTGTACGCCACCAGGAAAGCTCCACTCGGACCACTCCTCTCAACAAACAACAATTGTTCATGTCAACAAATCTTCAGCAACTCGACGACGATCAAATGCCCGGCTTTCTATTCGGCTTCAAGACACAGGCATACTCTCCAGCTCAAGTTTTCCCTCTCCTCGGTATGGCCTTGTAGACGGGGCTGCGGCATCATTATGACGACGTCGGACGACACACAAAAATACACTATATAGAGTGCTCCGAGTCAAGTAAAACATGACTCGGAGCGTCTCCACTCTTGCCTTCATCCCCCATGCAATCTCCATTTGCAGAAAAGTTGCATACGAACTACGTTCCTTCCGCCCAAGAAGCCGCCACCATTCGCCAGGCCATTGTCCCCCATCTGCTAGAGCTCCAGGATATCGACCAACAAATTCGCGTTCTCTCCGCGCGCCGCGAAGCGCTGAGCGCATATGTCGATCCACATACGGCCTTACTCTTCTCTTCCCGACGCCTCCCGCGCTCTGTCTTGGAAATCATATTCCAGGCTTGTCTTCCCCGCCACACGAATGCAGCGGTGGACATAACAGAGGCCCCGCTCCTTCTAACCCAAGTCAACTCCGCATGGCGCGCCATAGCGCTGAGTACTCCACAACTATGGGCCAGTCTGCATGTCCCGCTTCCGTTCTTCGTCGGGCTAGTCGACAGGACCGACCTTTTGCGAGAGTGGCTGGAGCGCTCGGGCACCTGCCCCATTTCGCTCTCTATTCGCGGAAGCCGTAACGGCCCGAAATCCTGGATAGCGCTCCGGCTTGGTCCAGACTTGCGGCAAACTACGGTGCACTGGCAGATCCTGGCGCAGCATGCGCAGCGCGTGCGCCGTCTACAAATTGTCCAGGCGTCGCCGACAGAGGTGAAGGCGATCCTGGCTGCGGAAATGCCGCTGCTCGAGTCTTTTGAGCTCGAAGAGTATCGTGATAGCAATGAAGTGGAGACATTCGACATGATTGCGGGGACATCTCTCGTCGCGCAAAACCTAACCACTTTGTCTCTTCCCAACTTTTCGTCCAATCATACCGACCCACTGCGAATACTGCCCACAAATTTGGAAGCACTCACCCATCTGAACCTCGGATATGACATTTCTACTAGTACGAGCATGAATCGAAAAACAAGTGGAACAATGGGTCTGTCACTTCCCGACGCCCTCGAAATCCTTATGAAATGTCCGCAACTCGAGGACTTCCGCTGGTCCCCTCGTCGTGCTAGTGCTACTTCGACACACAACTGGGCCAAAGTCCTTGAAGCTCTTCATCGCCGTACCTTGCCGCGTCTGCATAGGCTCCTTAGTTCTGAGGGCAACGACGACACTATTGACGAAGTCGACCGGTCCAGCTTCTGGAGCCACCTTCCCCCGGCGCCAGACATCGAGTGTTTATCGATTAGTCGGAGCCTAACGCCCACAATGGATCCAGTCACCGAGATAGAGAACTTCCTTCGCCGCATGCCTGCGCTCCGTTCGCTGGCTCTCCCACTGCCTCCAAACCTCAATCTCAATCCTCAGTGGCGCGGGGACGTCGGCACGGCCCTCCGCCGCATTCTTGTTGTGGTTCCGAACCTCGTATCGCTGGAGTTAACGGATGAGCCGTTCCCCAACACCATATATACCCTCCTCCGCATCCTGACCCCCACTCCAGCCGACGCTACCGACTCCGCGTCCACTAACAACCGGCTCTGTCCAAATTTAACCCACCTCCGCATCGCCCTCTGCAATGTCGCGCCTCCCCCCGCCCTCCTCACAGGCTTCCTTAGCAGGCACGTCGAGCAGCAGACACCCTTTCGTTGCTTCCAGATGAATATTTATCGCGTGGGGCCGAATCCGCGACGACCGTTAGTCAGCCCAGACTTGCTCGAGCGCTCCCGTGCCGCGGGGGCTGCAGGTGCAGATCACGTTTGGCGATTCGTGGAGCGCGGAACGGGACGGCGGGACAGCAGTCAGTGGAAGGCAAAATCTGCCCTTTACATTGTCCGAGTGGTGATGAATCCCAAGTACACAATATTTATGAATACACGATGGCTCACATCCTTTTTTGGTGTGCGTTAAAAATGCTTGACACCTCTCATCGCCAGCTGATTTGATTCATTTGAAGCCTTCCCAACTGACAAGCGGCGGACTCAGTGAACTCCCCCATGCCGGAAATAACCGTGGGCGTCGATAACCCCGCCACAGTGTCTGATTGGTCTATTTCTCTTCCCGCTGGGAAATCGAAGACGAGGACGCCAAGATCGAGTGCCAGATCGCACTTCTTCGGTAGATAAGCCGGACGGAGGAGGAAATGTGCATTAGCCCCTCATCGTTTGATACTTATTCGGCCTAGACGGTGTCCTCCTTCTGCATTCCTGCTTGCAAACTAATGGACAGCCAACACGGCGACACCGTTTTACTAGTCATCGTCACGAGCCAAGCACTGGTTTGCTGTGGTACTTGGACGGGCCTGGGAGCGTGGGTCGGAGTTAGATCGTGAAAACGCATCATTGCACTACCTGCTAGCCGCTGCATCTGGCGCTGGGTGCTGACCATATCATTGTTTCCGCTCTAGACCTGAAAAAGTCCAACCAATCTTCATCTTCTCTCCCAGCATCACATCAGCTAATTTGCTATTTCATCTACATCTGCCCACTGCAATTCTTCTCCCATCCTTCATCCCAAGCTCCAGAAACCTCGACCAACCTACCCAGCTTGCCTGCCACCGCCATGCCTGACTGTCTTTTCTGCCGTCAGCCCCAGAGCGGACCTCCGGGAACAATCTTGACCAAAATGTGCTCAACCTGTAATGGTTCTCGGGTGAGTTTTTACTTTGTATTCTCCATTCATCCTTTTTCCACCCCTTTCCTGGAGGCCAGGGCAGTGTCGATGACAACTCCTACCATGCCACACCAAAATTTGTCAGGAAAAGCTGACCACAATCAACCAACATCTACCTTTTGCTTTTTCTCTCTCTTTCCTCATCCCCTGAGCTCTGCTAAATACTATATTAGTACCTTAAATGTACAAACTGCACCTTCAATCGCGCCAACCAGCTCACCCGCTGGTGCGGGCAGCAGGCGGACCTCAGTAATGGTAATATCCAGGTGTGCAATTCAGGCTGGAAGACCTGTC